TAGCCTTTGTTTGTTTGTTGAAAGAAAGATACGTACTATATTTTTACATGTTTAAATTAAACCCTTTTTTAACAGCGTAATGTGAAGACGAAGATTATCTGAAACATGTAATGTATTATTGCTATGCACTTCGAATAATCTGATCATGCATTGTATAGGATGTATTTTCACTTATGTAATCCCGGCTTAGTATATAAGAACAAATAACAAAAACAAATATTTTGTATTATTCCTCAACGTTTCGATCTTGCTGAGAAGATCCTTTTCAAGAGTATGAATCTGACACTAAGTTTTCAGGTTAATATTCAAGTTTTGGAACAAAAAGTGGTGACCTTTACAATCATCCAATTACATAGTGATATGAAGTAAAGATCAACGTAATACAGGTGAGTGAATAAGCAACTCGGTCAGAGAGGTTTTTCCGTTGTGGGAGTAAGGTGGAACAAAGAAAAATAGGGTGGGGAAATTTTTTAGTTCGTCTATGAAAAGTACAATGGGGTTGTGAGACATGAAGGGTGAGAAAGAATAGATTACTAGTTTGGAAGGATGAATATTTGAAGATGAGACAATATATCTTAAATAAATAATAATAATGATAACCATAAATGTACTTTTGTTATTCATCGAAGACTGACATCAGTTGGAGGAACAAAGGAAACCTGGGAGCACTGGACAGCTGTTTCGTCCTAGTATGGGACTCCTCAGCAGTGCGCACCCACGACCCCACCAGCGGGGATCGAACCCGCGGTAACGCGCTGGTCGCGGAACCTGAAGGTCGCGGGTTCGATCCCCGCTGGTGGGGTCGTGGGTGCGCACTGCTGAGGAGTCCCATACTAGGACGAAACAGCTGTCCAGTGCTCCCAGGTTTCCTTTGTTCCTCCAACTGATGTCAGTCTTCGATGAATAACAACTTGAAACATTTCCAAATCTCCACAACCCCCTCAAAATTTAAATGTACTTTTGATAACACTTGAAGTATGAGTGATAACAAAATGGATTATGTTATGGTTCATCGAATGTATATGACTCAGAGAGTAGTGTAAAATTGATGAAAATAGTAGATCAATAAGGTGCTATGTAATAGGACTAGACAAGCTGTTTAAATGCAACCTTTTTTCTCTGTTTTCCTTTTTCTTTTCTCTTTTTTCTTCGTGGTTAAGACGATTAAGAGAAATATCACCGGAGACTATTCAAACAAGAGTGAATTCGGAATAAATAAATCATGTGGAATGCAATTGTGTCCTACCTTCTCTTCAGATATTATTTATAACTGCCTAGGCGAGTCATTAATGTTTGCCATATTAGTGGGATGTCTAACCCATCTTTTCTGTTGATTGAAGAAGGATATGAGCAGATGTGCAAAGCTTCTGCAATGGTCCGCTCTTTGTGAGAGAGAAAACCCTTTTGCAGAACTTCTGTCTGTTCGAATGATATTTTATGACCTGAATATAGGGAATGAGCTGCGATAGCAGAGCTTTTTTCAAGTTTTTCTAGATCATAGGAATTTTTTGGTGGTTTTTTGGAACTTTGGTCGTGTTCGGTTGGACGTGTTAGTACTTGACGTGATGTCTCTCCAATATATGTGGCACCGCATTCACTGCAGTCTACCTTATAAACACAGTTTTGTTGTTCCAAATGAGGAATCAGATCTTTTAATTTACACAGGTGTGAGTGTAATGTTTTCGCCACCTTAAAGAATACTCTGATGTTGTAACGGTTAAGGATACGTCTTATTTCCTCCGAGGTGGATGTTCGATAAGGAAGTACTATAGTACTTATCCAATTTTTATGGCTTGACTTTTTCATATTTTTATTCGATAAACTTTTTTCGATCTTCTTTAATAGTTTGTCTGGATAGTTATTTTGTCTTAAGACTTCCCGAACAAGTCGCCTATCTGCTTGCTGAGATTCCACTTTATTTGGTACCCTTTGCGATCTCGTCAACAGATTTTTGGCGTTTAATTTAGTTTCCAATGGATGATCTGATCCTACATGGATTTGTTGAACTATTGCTATGAAAATTTATGAGAAGGGTCAATAAAGTCAATGGGAAACATAGGAATAGGAACAGTAGAGAAATAAAACAAAATCTTAATCACGTTACTCTTGGTATGAAAATCAAAATCAATACTACCAAGGTAGGTTCAACGTGAGTACACATTGTTTTTGCAAACATAAAGGGGGTTTGAATTTATGGATGGCAAGAACTTTAATAAATTTAGGCAGTCGTCCCTGACTACTTTTATGTGAGCTGTTTGCATGTCTAGCGATAGATGAAGATGAAGGTATGTCACCTACACTTATCCGATTTGTTAGGGTTCTTTGTACTTGTAGCCTTTTGGGTACATGTTCAGCCAGCCTTAACGTGTTAAGATTATTCCTCGCTATTTAATTTTGTTCACCCATACATGTAAATTGATAAACACAATTGAATGTGATACAATTCTTTTGTATGTTGTGTTGGTTTGTGTTTTAACATGAACTTTGTCTTCTCTACAATGATGACGTTGGCTGTATAATGTGTTTTATAGATGGCTGATCTAAGCCTTTTCCTCATCTCTAAATGGCAATGAGATGTAAACATTTGTCTTAACAACGGAACACTGCTTACTTTCAATGCAATATGACTTTTCACCTATCGATAAATTTCAATGGGTAGCCATTCTGTATAGGTGTTGTCGTCAATAAGTTGGTTTCTTCCTTCTTCGTGTCATAGGTACAGATGTGGTTTATTCTACTGAGTAAGCACCTAACTATACAGCATTTATGTTGGACTGGGCAATGTGATGTACATACATCATGTTTCAGATAATCTTCATCTTTTCATTATGCTGTTTAAATTTATCATAGAGATTACTCGCTTTAAATTTTTAAACTCATTTTATCCAGACTGTTATTCAATTGAATGGTGTACTTTGATTGAGGGAACTGAATGTGACTTAAATGAATCAGAAATAGCAATTTAATGGACAAATGGATACAATTTGTCGGATGATATAATATCTCAGCAATGTACATCTGTAATACTATCCTAGCCTGAATTAATGGGGTGGGGGAAAGAGAGCATTTTACACTTTGGCGATGAAACTTCTGAATTATTCTGACCATTTGATGATACCAGAGACCAACTTTAGCATAAACTGGTTCTTTTAGAAACCTCATGAAATGTGTATGTCTAGAACTTCTTCAAAGAATTCCAGAAGCCACAGCAACTGATATTTAAAACCTCAGTTAAACCCGAATATTCTCCTGAAGAGTCAGTGGTATGCAGAGCAAAACTTTTGAAAAATCTTGTTTTGATTTCCTCAGCATGCTAGGATCATATTTATGTATGCTGTTACAAGAATTAAATCAAACTCGGTGTTCAACTTTGTCCGGGACATTCATCGTGACTATGGGATGGACCAAGTAAAGCAACAAAAACTATGAGTATCAATAAACAACATCTGATATCCTTTGGACAAAAGGTGACTCTAGTGCCCCAGTGGCTCGGTAGATAATGCTTTGTTATTTCAAGCTGTCGATACGAGGTTCGAGTCTCAGTGGGAACAACATAACTCACTAGGGTGCAGGTACATTTACCAGGCAAGTTACAAATTGGATGAAACATGAGTCTTGAATTCCACTGTTAGCCATTAAATAGACTACAATATAGTTCGGATGCTTATAACCCTAATTAAGTCTATGTTTAAAAGAATTTTTTCCCAGTGATTAAATATCAAATTGAACACACTAATTGATCGAAATTCTTTCTTTTACGCGTTACCTAAATATATCGTCTTCTTAAATATAATATTCTGCTGCTTAATGCTTCTTCGTTTAAATTATATTCATCAATCCTCTTAGCCATAATACGTCATTCAACTTTGCTTCAGCCTTCATAAATCTGCTTATGACTACCATTTTGTATACTACATGATGCTTTTCTCGGTCTTGTGATATGTAATGAGAATATAATTGCGTTCAAAAAATATTTTACGATACATCGCTTTTCTGTTATCAAGTAATAAAAGTAATAGTTATATAGGATTGTCCAGTAAGGGAATGACGTTAAAACATAGAGTGAGTATTTTCGTTTTACAAAGTTATTACTTTTCTTCAATTGAACTCTTTCCATTATTACTTCAATCTCTAACTTTATTGTATATAAACTGAAGGGATCCCAGACACCTGTTCACTGGGTGTTAGTAAAATGAATGTAATCATTGAATAAACTTCACATTTCATACATAGAATTCATATACAGAAGTATACAACCTCAGAGATGAAACAGAATTATTGTCTTTTAATCTAATTCAGTATGAAAGGTATTTTAAGGTCGAAGTAATAGATTCCAGTTAAACAACTTAATACATTCAATATATATATAGAAAGTATGAATCATGAGACCTGGAAAATTCTCATGTAACCTACTGGAATATACATGAACATATATTATTCATGTTTCTTTATGCCATGCTATGCACTAAATGTGTCACTTTCACCTATATTTAAAACAAGGAAATACAAATTACCTTACATTGAATATTGAAGACCACCTTAAAAAATAACGTTTCTTTTTAAAAAAAAGAGGGTAGATGTTGGCAACTTACTTCCTTCCCCTTAAATTACAATCAATTAATATAAAGATATTCATAGTTATACTTTCCTTTCTTCTGTTTCCTTTTCAATTGTATAATTTATGTTTTATTTAAAATATACGCAATATATTCGTTAAATGTTGACATTTGTAACATACTTTGGTGGTATGACCTTGATGCTGATGTGTGTCTTTTGGTAGACTAATCGATTATTATGCCTACACGGTGGTTTATTAGTAGAAACAGAGATTTTCAATGTAAGACAAATGAAAGTAAGGGAAAAAAAAATTTTTTTTTTCTCTAGAGGTGTGATATTTCTTATACCCACAAATTAGTCAAATGAAAAGTATCCCTTGAAGTGTTCAGATACAAATTATTTGACAAAACAAGAGATTGCTTGTTGATCTGACAGAAATAAATATGCATTATTGTATAATAATCAGTTTTATTTTATTACATTTACTAAGTCTATATGGAATTAAAACACTTCAAGATGTAAATAAAGTCTCCATGTTATATAATGGAAATATGACGACTAATACAAGTAATACTGGTCCTGTTAATGGTTTGCCTATTGATACAACAGTGATATGCTCCTCTGATAATCCAGTTACTCATACATCTGTTGGAATATATTGTGGTTTGCGTGAAATTGTTCATTGGCCAAATGGACCAGCATCAGTAGTTGATGTTTATTATGGTAAATTAAATAAGATGAATTTGTATTTCACTTTGGTATTTTGATTTTTTAATGTATATTTTTTTATACAATAAACATCATATTCTTTTGCTGAATCGACATTGCATATAGTTCATCAATGTGAAATTGATTTAGTCTATTGTGATTAGTTGTACTCAGCTAGATAGATAACTTTACTGAAACAACTACTTTAATGAGAAATCAGCTGAGATACAATGTTGATGGTGTTATATTCTCTGAGTTGGATGGTTTATTCATGAAGCTTTCATTGTTATTCTAGACAACATCATCAGAGAAAACTTTGGGGTTTTCTCCACAACTAGCCATGTGAGTGATTGGTTGTTTCTGTAAAACTCTTATCACTGTCCCTATACTTACTTCACTTTGGTTGTCCCATTGATATGAACTTTGACCTTCTTGTTGCTTCTTATTAGTTTCTGGATTGGATCAATATGAGTGTCTGCTGATGACTGACTGATATGAATACCAAGCTCCTAAAAATTCTTTGACATTCAATATATTTCCTTGATCCAGGATTTCCACATTTTTCTACTCAAATTTATGTCCACAGTTGTCTGCATGAGTTGATATCAGAGATGTCATGATTTGTCACTACTACTTGATGTTCATAAAGACGTTTACCAAGAGGATGACCAGTCTGCTCGACGTAGTGTTTTTTGCAGTTTATTCTGTTGATAATGTTTGGTTTGTCGTCCTTTTGCTATTGCATCTTTTGTCATGTGTAAAAGAGGGTGAAGAGATTTTGTGGGCTTGTAAGCTACAAAGACTCCAAAAGGCTTCAATAAGCAAGTATTAATCTTAGACAACTTCTTGATGTAAAGTACGATAATCGGTTTGTTGATTTTCGAGGTTCCCTTTTTGGGTGACAATGGATTATGCGAACATCTTTTGATAAAGTTGAGTGGATAGCCGTTCTTCTGGAGAAGTTACTGGATACTTTTATTCCTTTATTCCTCATGGTTGATGTACTATAGTAAGTCTTCGCTTTTTGAAACAATATTCTTATGCAAATAGTTTTGCATGCTATTAGACTGTTGCTATTGTAACCGAGGATTTGATCGACATGGGCTGGTTTTCTGTATACTTCAGTTTCTAATTCCTTTGAGTCCGTTATAGTGATCAGAATTTCTAGAAATGTCAGTCTGTCATTTGATTCCTCTTTAATTGTAAATTTGATATCATCAAAAATGATTTTGACTACTTTGGATTCCTTTCTTTGAATGATGACAAATATGTCATCTTCACTTTCTATAGTTAGTCCTGGTATAGATAATCCCGTTGGTGTTCCTTTTGTCTGTTTATAGAATTTCCTGCTGAATTGAAAATATGTTGTTAGGCATGAATTAATCAACCCCACCAAACTGAAACATCGCAGTTGTGTATGTTCCTAGAAGTGTGTATCACTTACAAGAAGAAGGGTCATTATTATATCCTTATCCAGTTCCGGTTCAGTTGAGGTGGATAGTACTGTAACATCGTCATATTAGATCAGTCAGTTTGATATAGCACCCACTGATACAGTCTTATTTACTAGCTGACATTTTGAGCAGGATCTGTTGCTCATATTCGTAATATCAAGATAACCATACAATGTCTTGGTCTAGTTTTTTAGTCTTATTGTTTTTTATTCCTTGACTTAGTTAATAGTAAAATTTTCTATACATCCAGAATTGGTGTCACGTTATTTCAGTTACACGTGCTAGGCGTTGAACTGATGAAGAGAGATTCAGTAGTCAAGCTCTCTCTCTCTCTCCACTTGACTACACTAGTTTTTAGGTCTGTGATGATAGAGAATCACACAGTACGGTGGCTCGTTGGTGTTTTCACTCTGTTAAGTCCGCCGTTTTGTTTGCTTTAATTGTATAAAACTATATCAATCAAAAGGTATCGTGAATCATTTGCATAGGTTTTGGATTTGAGATATATTTGTTGAAACATTATTAACATTCTTAGGTTTACCTCATTACTATTTAGCTTCATGTCAGCAGTACACAGTTATTCTGTATCATTCATTATTGGCTTTCTAGAAAACTTTTACGATTGAAAACCGCCAGTCACTTTGAAGACCACCCTAACAACAACTAATGTAAACAATTAGACTTATTCATTTTGTGAAAATTTGATTTTCCGTCTGACATAAAGGAATCTAATTGATCGTTCCAACCATTACTAGGGTGACCTTAAAATGCATTCAAAGTAAATGCACAATTTTTGTGGAATTGTTTTGATGTGGACACAAAAAAACGCTTCAAAAGTGTTGGCGGACTGATAGTTCATTGAGTGAATATAAAGGCAACTCTGACAACCAATTTCTTCCCTTTATTTTATTAAAAACTGTATTCATTACTAAAATACTTAAAGCTGATAGGTGGTTTCATTAATGCTAGGGTGGCTTCCGGTCTAGGCACTCAACTTTCAAGCTTTGAAACATTTGGTTTTCACCAATAAGTTCATTAAGGCCTCTGAAGTGAGTTACTCTCAGGTTCATTCTAGCAACAGTTGAAGTAAAGAGTGATTTTAAAGGTCACTCTAGCAACGACTGAAATATCGATAGCGTAATAGAAGACGAAGTTTATCTGAGCAATGTGATGTATTTGCGCAATACATTTCGAACAATCTGATGAAACACACATTTACTTGTCAAGTGAATATATTAAACCGAGGACTGGGAGGAGGGATAAATACAACAATTAATACAATAGGGGATTAAAATTAAGAAAGATGAGGACGAACAGGAAGTGACATAGTTGGTCCTAATCTTGGTAAGAAAACAAAGTTTACCAAGGTAAGTGTCGTGTAATAACAAACTGTTTTTGTACACATAAACGTGGTTTAGATTTGTGTATGGCTATGGCTTCCACAAATCTCAGAATACCTCCCTGACTGACTGTTTCCATATTAGACTTTGAAAGCTGTTTGAACACTAACTTTGTAACCTGTTTCTATGATATGTTTAGCTATAGATTAAGAGGGTTGTCTCCCACCAGCGTTTATCACTGTTTCATACTCCATTTGTTTTTGAAGCCATTTAGGCACATATTCTCCCACCCTCAACTGCATAACTCAATTACTCCTCCCTATGTATGTGTGACCACACACACATGTAGATTGGTAATACAATGGGATGTGACGTAATCACTGATGCAGTATTTAGGTTTTTGGTGAAGTATGTGTTTTGTTTTCTCCACAGTGGTAAGATTCACTGCGTAATACGTTTTCTTAATGGCTAATGTCAGCCTACGTCTTAAAATGACACTATTTAGCTCCCCTCTGTATGGTAGAGTGATATGGACATTTTTCTTAAAGACCGTGTATAGAGTTGGCTTTGGTGCTACTTGGCCTCTACAACGGTTTATAAATTTCGTCAGATATCCATTTTCCATAAGTTCTTTGCTCAGTAATTTGATGTCTTCATCCATCGCATCTAGTGTGTTGACAAGATAGATCCTGTTGAACAGTCATTTTACTAAATCTCGCTTGTATTGGATTGGACAAAAACTGTGGAAATTCAAGTATTATCCTGTCCATGTAGGCTTTCTGTAAACTGACCGTCTTGTTGAACCATCTTCTCATCGACTGAGAAGTATATCTATTGTGTTAAATATTGTATTTATCCCTCCTTCCAGTCCTCGGTTTAATATATTCACTTGACAAGTAAATGTTTGTTTCATCAGATTGTTCGAAATGTATTGCGCAAATACATCACATTGCTCAGATAAACTTCGTCTCCTAATTACGCTATCGAAACGACTGAAATGGCCAATTCGACTTCTTTATTTCAGTGAAAAAGGTCAGTTTTCATAAAATACAGAAGTTCAACTGCTATTTTAGTTATTGTTAGGGTGGCATTTTGAGCAACTGTATGAGGTAAGTCTGACTCATCCACACAGTGCGAAACCCTAACCACGATTGTGTAACACGTCGTGATTTTCATGTGATCTGTAATGAGTTATAAAAATGGTGGTCTCACACACATTCTAAGATCGTTTACTCATGAATTATTCTGTTAGAGTGAATGAGGTATAGATTATCCGTTTGCTTCTACCCAGTATATACATCCTTCATTAGAAAAATTGTCATCGACTTCCCTATACATTTTGTCGATTAGACTAAAGGGTGAAAATAGAACAAAGGAAATTATTTTTCTATTGGTTTCTATATTCAGTTTGTTTATCTTATCCAGAAAATTCTGGAAGTCACAGCAAACATACTGTCAAATCTACTGTAAGAGGAACAGTACCTGGATGCTAGAATATTGAATTGTGGAATGTAATATTTCTATCCATACTTAATGAAATCGTATCATATTCATTATTTATAATCATAAAAGTGAAGTCAGCACAACACTTAGTCGGTCTACCTGAAACTATCTGACGGTATAACTTTGTTCTTACATAAGGTTTTCACGAAATTCAGAGGTTTTCTACTGAAATTTGATTCCAGTTAGTTAGTCAGCTGACAGTCATCACTCCAAATTTGAAAGTTTTACTGTTACTAGTCTACCGACTTAAGGTAACCGCTTCCTACAATACAAGTACTCACATTCAGTGAAGATTTAACCTGCATGCTATTCATTCTACTGGAACAAACTTAACTGTCATGTTAGGCGTATTTGTGATATCTCAAGAACATTACAATTTTGTAAAAGTGTTTTCGCAGGTTTCGCTGAGTATTAAGCACTTTTTGTCAAAATTTACTGAAAACGGTTCAGTTTTTGAGAAGATGGACACTACTCAATGCAACCGACAACTAACTTTAGCATATACTTACAAGGAATGTAATAAAAAGGGAATAATATAGCCTTAATTCTCCCTGTAGTCACTTTTCTAATATCTTTTCATGTTGTTATCTACCAGGAAAACAAGATTGCATGCACAAACAACTTATATCCCATTATCAGTTGATTGATTCAGTCCTTCTCGTCATTATCATGTTACTGCAAATAGATCTAAAAAAAATAGTGGTAAAATTCAAGCTAACTAACTAATAAATAACCGCTTGCTTCAGTATGGTTACATCTACAAACATTCAAAAGTGTAGACGAGACGTTACTACAGCATTTCATCTATAGTTTAAATAAATAAGAAGATTCAAAGTAATTTTGATAATTATGACTACCAATCATTTGATCAACACTAAAACAGTCATATTTATTCATAACTTTATGATGGCTGAATAGAAATGATCAGTTTAAACAACTAACCTGTAGCTGAATCACAGAAAAAGCTTCATGTAACATTTGACCATGTATATTTTGATGTTTAGTAAAAATCTGAATCATCTGTTGAAGAAGTTATGATATATACAGTAAAACATCCAGAAAACTCTTTTTTTTAAAAAAATGTTCTTAACACTCTGAGGTTGCATTAAGACTTACTTATATAAAAAATGATTGTCGTATAAATTCATAGCTCTACATGCGAAAACAAACAAGTTGGAAGAGGAGGCAAGGTAGCGAAAACGGAACTTCAAGCGAACGCAGAGAAGACAGAGGTGATGATGATACACAACCAACAACAAACACCAATCATCATCAGTGGGTGAAATTTAAGCGAAATTGTCTCTTTCACCTACCTAGACAAGGTGGCATCGTTTCAACTACAAGCGACACAGGCACAGATGAGGACGTCAAAGCCAGGATCGGAAAGACAGCAAGACACGCCTTCCTTCATTAATCTGAAATCAGTGTGGAGATCTACTGTAGTGAACTGCACTGCACTGCAGTGCACTCAGCATAAAGCGTGAACAAGATCCAGATTTTTAACAAAAATGTCAAGTCAGTGCTTCTATATGATGGTTGAGAGACTTGGCGGTGCGTTATGAAAAGCATTTCCAACAAACTACAGACATTCATCAACAGCTGTCACCTACGCTCACTCGCTTCTGAAGATCAGATGGATGGCGAGAAAGAATAAGCAACAAGGAACTCACTATGGCAACGAACTAACCAAAAACCCATCGACCAAAAAATATGCAGAAGAACGTCGAGATGAATTAGGTATACACTGAGAAGACCATTTGAGGACATCACGTATCAGGTCTGGCCAAGTCGACAGGGGGGAACAACGAGTTTGGTGTGCAAGGTGAGGGTGACATGGAGGAGATCATGTGCGGAAGAAATGAGAGCTTGTGGGCAGTGGTGGAGCAGGGTTGAAAAGACCGCAGAGAAGAGAGTGAAATGGTGACGTGGTAGCGAAGTTCTATGTTCCACTAGGAACCTAAAGGACAAATAATAATTATATATTATATAAATAGTGCTTCACACTGTCAGATATTTTAATTATTCTTACGCTATTATTTTCTTAACGCCAATCTAACAATAATTATACTTTTACGATACATGTTGACATCCCTTACCATTCAATGAAAGTACCAATTATATTTGAATGTGATTGTATATCTGTTTGTTGAACTCTTTCTCTTATATTTCACTTATGAGTATTCAAAACCTTTTACATGAATAAACTGTATTTCATGGATAATATCGCTATTGCATTTTTTTTTCACTTATATCAAACTAATTGCCATTAGAAAGGAGCTTTTTTCAAGATCAGTACCGGAGAGAGAAGATACTGAAACTTGGAAGCACTGGGTAACTATTTCGTCTTAGTCTGGGACTCTTCAGCAGCCGTTCACTGCTCCCAGACTTCCGACAATCCTCATACTGTTGTCACTGTATGAATAAAACCACTCTAAAATCAGTCACTTCCCATTAGATGACCAAATTTATTATGATTAATTCATGATACGAAATCCCCTTCTCAATTCTCAGTGGAGGATAAGTTAACTATGACTCTGTTATTGTAAGGATGGAAGTTGTGAAGCTGATTAACTATCTCCACTTCTAGATAAAGGATATTCAGAGAACAGACTCACTGTCTGAATCTTTTGTTCTTACTATATCGCTTACTAGGCAACAGCAACACCGCCGATGCACCACATGATTCAGATGTATGTTGAATTATTATGCATGCAGTGTGACATATTTATACATGTATTCTTTACCTCAGTATTCTATCTAAATCACCAATACTACATTCTTAAACTAGGTGCTTTATGAGGAATCTGTCCACTTTAGGAAGTTTTGATCACATATCGAGAAAAGGCTAAAGAACTAATGTAAACTAAGAATCATTATGTAACTATTAAAGAATTACTTTGAAAATTTTCAGTAATATGTGTTTAAACTTTTATAAAGGATTAAATCCATTACTTTCAATAAATGTGCTGTTGATTTCAAGTTGGTATTCATCACAGACTGACATCACATGGACAGTCATTGGAAACTTGTGAGCACTAGATACCTATCTTGTCGAAGTATCAGACTTCTCAGCAGTGCGCACCCATCATCTCGCAAGGGCTGGTAGCCAGGGTCATTAGGTTCCGCAGTCAGCACGCTACCGTTGAGCCAATAGGTTGTCATCCAACAGTTCACATTTGGGTGGGTTCGACTCCTAACGAAATCATGTGTTTGCAATGCTGAGAAGTCCCTTACGATGGCAAAACAGCTGTCCAATGCTCCTAGGTTTCTAATGGTTCTCCAACTGATGTCAGTCAGTGAAGAATACAAACTTGAAATTAATAAAATTCCAATAAACCTCGAAACTGAATAATTATCTTTTGTTCATCAGTGACTTACTTCGAGATGAGATCCCCGAAGTTTTTATGAGAAGTCGTGACCCGTGGGGTGAATTAAGTCGGACAACAGGATAGTTACTTAACGACGCCGTTGGACAAAGGTTGCACTATATCGCAAAATGACGGAATTAAGAAAATGGTGATCACTAGATTCCGAGCCAGTGACTCAGTGGTAACAAGCGGGTCGCTCGACCTGAAGGCCTTGGGCTCAATCCCTGCCCTGGTTAAGTCATGGGCATGCACTGTTGAGGAGTTCCATACTAGGACGAAATAGCCGTCCAGTCCTACCAGGTTTTCAGTCCTTCTGTAAATGATATGAGTCTATGATGAATACCAATCTAGAATCAGTATATGAATCCCATAAACCTCCAAATCCCAAAACATGGTAGTGGAATCATTGGATAGAATACAGTTTCTATACAGCACCATCATGAGCTAACATCGTTTTCTTCCTGTGACTTGACTAATCCAATATCCCAAGGCTTTTCATTACAACCTTGAAAAATTCAACATGAAATCAATTTTTTTTATACCCTTTTAGTTAATACAAAATTTATTGTCATCACGCTTACTTTCTATTGTTCCATTCTGTATATTCGTTCACTACACCAAATTGTCTTCTGTAAGCTGCTAAAACACACGAATCTGTAGTGACAGCACATACTAACATCTAGGACACTGTAGTTACTGTTAACCTCCTCTTATCTAATTAATCCTGCCTTATAATATACAGCTATGGGAGTTGGAGGAAAATTCGAAAACCACGATGTATCTATTAGCGTTTTTAATTGATAATAAAAGATCCACCGTCCAAAATACCAGTCAACCCTTGCAGTGATTTATGAATATTTATGTCATTGCATCATAGATGATATCTTCTTCGATTATAGGCTAGCACTTTGGAGACAGTACGTTTTAGGGAAAAACAATCAATATTTGAAGTTTTCACTACAGTTGAACAATGAAAAAACGCTGTTAAGTCTGCTGTTATTCAATACTGAATTAGATATACGCTTTCTAATTTCATGACGTTGTGTCAAGTGAATGATCTTTTTTTCTACAGGTATACGATATGCTCAATCACCAACTGGATCATTACGTTTCAGAAAGCCTGTTGAACCTAAGCCTGAACCGAAGAAAGTATTTATGGCTGATAAGCTACCTGCAACATGCCCCCAACCGAAAGATACCATGTTTCAGGTGAGTTATAGGGTAATTTTACCAGAAAAAATCGAATCCAAATATAAAGTGGTACAATTATCTGTGTTACAAGCACTCCTTTTGTGAGATCAGTCGAAGTATAGTTTAATTCATCATAAGTCGTATAGTCCTTTGAAATTGCAGAGAACAAGGTTTAGAATGTTCAGCTATTAACAAAGCTCATCTTAGTCAGTATTTCCAAAATCCTATAGTCTTCAAGTTTCAACTACAGACAATTAAGGAAGTGACATGATAGTCTTCTGTTGTCATAATATCTATCATCGATCGGCATTTCTTCTATCTTCCAGCTTTGAGAAAAGCTTCCCACAACAAATCAGTGATGAATGGTTGATTGCTTTGAAAGTGAATTAATTTGTGGTCCAATTTGACCGAGTTATCAATCTCTCCCTCCACCCAACTACGTTTTTAATACTGTTGTTTTGTCCCATCTTATTGTATAACTCTGTGCAATTGCGCGCACATCTGTAACAGAACTTTTCCCCAAACTACTTATTTGATCAGGATCTACTGATCTTGAATTAGTTCTGTTATTCTAATTAACCCTGGTCGACTACTCTCACTTATGTATTTAACCTCACAATCGTTGCAAGGGATTTGATAAACTAAATTATTTTGCCTATTTGGTTCAATAGGATCTTTCAACCTACAAAACTTGTTTCTAAGCAAGTTTGTTGGTTTAAATATCACTGTAATCCCAGCCTTACTGTGAATTCTTCAACAAATTTAACCAATTTTTCAAAGAAAACATGTAAGAGCAAAGCATTCAATTCATATGACCCAAAACACTGCATAAATTTCAAACATAGTCTAAATGACTATAGGTAAGCTGAAGGCTTTCAGTGAGTCCTTAAACAATGCCAACTCATTGGTTGTAAGGTGTTTTTCAACTCACTCATTGCATTTTCTACTTTCAAGCAACTGTAACAAGTTTCTTTTATTTCTCATGAATAGATTTTCAATACACGTTTCAATCAACCCTTAATAATCTTATTATCAATAACTAATCATTTAGACAAATAATCGGATTGACTAAACTTGCCGTTCATTATAGAATTTAATGTCGTCAGTCTATCTTATTTGACCAACATAATGGTATAAAGTTATTCACCTTCAAGATAGGCTTGTTATTATGTCAGTAAATGATGAAGCGTCATCCTGTATTTACATTACGTCTCTTCGTGGATTTGTATGTTGAAATTATCAAAATTTCTAGGCAAACTCTTACATATCATATGTATGTCTTATCATGACCACTGTATCAGGTTGAATTTCGTTGAAGCGATCAACAGTCATAACTATAGTTACTATTGTCATTTTCATTATTATAACAACAATTTATGTTGAAACAAAATAATTTTGGTAAAATATTGAATATTGTCTGTCAGTTGAAACTACTAATGATTTATGAATAGCAGTAATTAGTACTGGTCAGTTTTCAGGTGATTTCAGAAGTCTGCCTATCTTGAACTGTACTGGTGAGTTATTTTCATTCAAACCTCAAAAGTAGAATGAGTTCTCGAAGGTCATCGGAGCATGCTAATGGTTTCAAGAATTGATAAGTAAACACTCACAGCATCCATTTTATAAGCAAAAGCCTTTTTATTCAGTACCGCATGTTCTCAAGCTAATGCATCCTTTCAGAAGAAGAGCTTAAAAAGGTTTAAACAAGCTCTGTGAGGCCCGAGAGTAACAAAGAACAGTTAGCCTGTAAACAGAGGTCGCGTGCAACAATTGTTGTTACTTTTCTAATTTTCCCGGTTAGTGATTAAAAGCTAACCACGTTTTAGTCGGGCATGATGCCAGGTAGATAGCATACTTATCTTTAAATTGTTTAGAATTCTAGGTGAAATACTTTTAAAAAAAAACGCTTCATATATTTTGCTGTACCAGGAAGTTCTGCCTTGCTTCTTTTGCTTCGCGGTAGGTAAATATCAATCATGTCCGTAGATCGGATATAATGCAGATGCTACATTTCGAAGATGGTTCAACTATTATTTCTGTAGACGATGAAGCTATTTGGTTCCATCCCAATGAAATAGAAGGGATTTTTTGTCAAAATGGATTGGATTATAAAAAATGACTCGCTTGGAAGCTACAGCTATTTGCACCACTGAAGTAACCAATCAAGGTTTCGGGAAAACCTGAAAATCTTGAAAGATATGCAGTAATCCGCCGAGCTTTTGACCAGCTAGATGGAAGACTACATCTCATTGACTAGTGCAGAATACAAAACTTTAATGTAACTGAAAAATAATCTTTGCTTTTTTAATGAACTAAGAGCAAGATATGTCCAATAAATAGATAAAATCTGTAGGAAAATCAATGATATTAGGGCAAACTACGTAATGATTCAAGTGACCTACATTTTAGAGCTTTCATATCTTCACTCCCTGTCTGCGATACGGTTTTTCTGGACTGTAAAGATGTAACAACTTAATTCGTTCTGACAGCTGATATCTCACTACTGCAATGATTGTGATAACATCGGTTGAATCCATGTCAAAATCGATACCCGCACTCTACCATTTGGTTTATAAATTAAAACTCTCGACTCGCTGTGAATGATGCATAAATATTCTGAGGTTGACGTCACTAAATATTTCAAAAAGCTAAAATACTGACCATCTGAAGTGTTTATATAGGAAAAGACCAAGACAAAATAATTGTGATCTGATTTTCAGCTAACAAATGAGATAGGCTAAAGAAAATACGAAGGTTAGTAAGCAGCCAGTAAACTCTGAATGACTAACATTTCAGTTTTTCAATTCTATTACTCAAACCTTGGCGGAATTACTGGGTATTAATTATACATGGAAGTGTCTATCTTCACGAAGTATATGAAGGAACAGTGAAAGTATCAACTCACTGGTAAGGCTGTGTGAAACGTGTAATGCATATGGTGAACTGTTATCGATTGGTGCTTTCTGATTAACGTGTTGCCGAAATATAGACTTAGCTACTTATTCTCTGGGTATCGAGTTGTACGATCCAGTAAGAGAACAAGTGAACGCAGTGATGCAGTGCTTTTCCTTGAATCAGAGAGGACTTTATTTGTTGTCTGATAATGAACTGAGTACCTCCATGTATTAAATAACACTTACAGTCATTTGTTTTCAATAATAATGTTTCACTAGAAAAAACATTTTTGTATAAACACTGAAAAGTTAAGCATCAGTAACAATGGTAATATGTCTGACTCAAAGAGTAACCAATAAACTTCGTCACGGATAGTTTCAATTATCTGTCATAGTGTCTAGTTCTTTTCAAAAAAACTTCTGCTGACAATACAAAAGACGATTTACACAAATCAGATGGCACTACACTGTCTGTGATTAGACTGTATACCAGGATGATCACAGATGTTGTTATCAGACAGTGAGCAATCTACTCCTGCCCATCATTTTACCATTCACTTAATAAACGTATTAATTTGGATGTAATGCTTGATATATCCTTATGTCTTTTTGTCTCGTTTAGAATTCGGCAGCAGCTAGAATGTGGGTGCCAAATACACCAATGTCAGAAGATTGTCTTTTCTTAAATATTTGGGTACCTTCACAACAGTCGAATGACAATCATTCAAATTCCAAGGAAAACTTGCAGTTATGGTGAGTCTAGCTGACTTCATATGACTCTTAATCTAATGAAAGTTATATGACTATCATCTAAGTCTATCAGTTCATATTTAAAATATATTTTGAAAACTTTGTGCTAGAAAAAACTCAGACCCTATTCCAAGTCATGTGGCGTATCTCAGTTCTATAGGAACTGAAAAGCAACAGATAACTTATACTTTCACGATGTTCATTATCGTCAGAAATTACCCACTTTGACAAAGCTGAAGGAATTATAGTTATCAGTCATGACATTCTACTGGATAACAAACAATTCTTACTAGAAAGAGTAGGGTTTGCTAACTTAAGATTGTGACATATGTTCCCCAGCTTTTAAACTTGTATTCTCCATGTTATTTAAGGCGTCAAGTTGATTAAAACCCTTTGGTTTAGCCACTTTTTTTGAGGCAAAGGGGGTGGATTAGTTAAGCGACTGTACTTCTGAACTGTAAATCTTACTTATATCAACTTTCTGCAATAAATACTACCACGTATAGAATTTAATATAACCGAACGAATAAAGTCATCACTATCATGTAAATAGTAATTAGCTTAGCTGCATAAGGTCATTTCATCATAGGGAACATGCCTAAAGCAGTTGAAAATAGTCAGTTTTCGACAAGTTGACAAGTGTCCTTAAAAGTCATTGGTATGACCAGTATACCAAGTGGGGTATTATTCCCTCTACTGAATTACAGTTAAACTTTCAACTTCGGCTGTATATTAGCTAAATCTTTTGAAAAGAAACTTGTCAGCCATCAAATATCCATGGTACACATTAAACTTTACTAAATTCCAAACAAAATGTGGCCAGTAAGCTGTATTAGTACATTTGTGTTGTTTGCACCAAACTCAGGTTGTTTTTCTCATTTTTGTTAACTAACAGGTTAGTTGAAAAGTATTTAAAACAGCTATACTTTGAAGCATCTATACTTCATCAATTTAACTACCTGAGATATCCATGATCTGGGGGATATGCACTGATACTGAGTGATGATTGAAGGCGAAATGAAACCCTAAGCTGCAGTGCGACGAAAAACAATGACCACCAGGTTACTACTAGCCCTCTGCTCTACCATCTCAGCCATGACATCCGGCTTCTAACCGAATCTTCGTTTCACTTCACAGCATCACCAGTTCATATAGCAGTCAGGCAAAACCATTGGTGATTGGAGTGAAATTAGGATTTGATCAGAAATCGTGTCTCGTAGCTTAATGGGTAGATCACCGGGCAGGTAACCCGGAAGTCTCTGGTTCTAACCGTATAGTGGTCTAAATTTCAATTTCGTGGTAAGTCATCACCCACTAACAATACAAGTCTGGAAGACCACAGTTATCGCAAATGGTCAAACTGATAATCAATGTGATGTTCCTCCTTGCTGATTCACGTTGGTTTGGATTGCAATGAAAAGTCCTGACTGGGCAACCGATGTGAATATGTTTATATTTATCAACATACATGTGGGAGTATTTCTAATTTACCCATTTTATAAAATCTCTTCATTTTTCTTCTATTTAATTGTAGTATACTTGTATTTTGCATCATTTCTTCTTTCTTTTTCTTATCAAACTTTCAAAATGATTAGTTATGGATATACGGTGGAAGCTTTTACATGGGTACATCTACACTGAGTGTATATGATGCAAGATTTTTAGCTGCTAGGCAAAATATCATTGTCGCATCCATGAATTATCGTTTAGGTTCATTCGGATTCCTATACATGAATACAGAAGAGGTAACTTAATCATTTCTTTTATGATCCAATATTTCTAAAATTGGATAAAACTTTTCCTATTATTATTGTCTATGCACCAGGAAAGTATATATTTCATTGTAAACCCTGCTATGTGATACAAAAGATCTTCTTATGAAAAAGGGAAGTGCGGGTGTGTACATACGTTTATAGGTCACTGATGCAACAAACGTGTAAATTTCAAGTAAGTATTCATCATGAACTGATATCATTTAGAGAAGCATTGAAAACCTGGGTGTACTGAACACCTGATTCGTTCCAGTATGGGATTTCTGAGCTCTACACATCCATGAGTCCGCTAGAGATAACTTTGCCAAGTTCAAGTGAGAACTTGGAGCAAACTAAGACGAGTGTGAGGATAGGTTCTCAATAATACCAAAGTGACAGAAGTAGGAAATGTGGACCATTGAGCTTTCCATTGTGAATCACATGACTGGCATGTAACATCATATAGCATATAGCTGTAGAATGAGGTGGATAAAGGTTTGTGGTACTAAAACCGTGGTGTTGAAGCAGCTGCCTGGCAAATTACTTCTTGGTCGACGCTGTCCAAGGCCTTTTCAAAGTCGATGAAGTTGAGGTGAAGATCCATTCGGCTGCCTTTCTATGCTCTCTTCTATAATGATGTGTAGCGTATATTTGCAAATTGATCCGCATATGATTTGTTCTTCCTGAATCCAGCCAGCCAGCTAGCCAGACATCCTGTTCCGGTTGTAATTTTGAGTCCAGAGCATTGTTTAGTCTCTCCAGTATGACGCGACTTGATATTTTGCTTGCTTTGGGTGGTCAGGAACTGGAACAAGATTGCGCAATAGTTCTTGCAAAGACTTAGGTCGCCCTACTTTGGGAGTTCGACAAGGCAGCACTTCTTTCAATCAACTGGCAGGTACCTTCCCTACCTTCCAAACCTTCTGTAATAATGGTGTGAACATGTTCGCTATTGTCTCTTCATTTTTTTCAGTGCTTCCGGAGTAAGTCTATCTAGTCCTGCCGAGTCCACGGATTTCAGTGACTTTATGGCGTTGAAGACTTCTGCTTTTGTTGGACGGTTTGTGTTCACCGGTAGTTCTGCCATAGCTGGTGGCATTTCTGGACTAGTTGCAGGTGGTGGTGGTCGATTCAAGAGTTTTTTGAAGTGGTCAGCCCATCGTTTCCCTTGTTCCTCCTCTTTGGTAACTAGGTTGCTTTCATTATCTCTCATTGGTTTCAACTATGTTAGTCTGCTGCCGGATAGCAATGTGGTTATTTGATATGTTATCACGTCTCTGTCTCTTTTACCAGCAGCCTGTTGTGCTTCACTTGCCAGTGTGTCGTAGAAGTGTCTTTTGTGTTTGCGCGCACTCTTCCTCACTTCCTTGACCAATGTAGTGTTTTATAGGTTGTATTCAGTTTTTCTCTTCATTGTTCATCCCTGTACTGCACTGGTTCGTCTTCTACTTCACCATCTTACTCCTCCTCTATCAGCTTCCATGTGTCCTTGGAGACCCATTCCTTGTCTTGCAGCTTCTTCTTCTTCATTCCTAACACGGTTATGAAGGTTTCCTGCCACATAGCTTTCAAAGAGTGTTCTTACAGTGTTCTTCCACACAGGTTTTTTCACAAATATTGCTCAATATCTCCCATTTTGTCCTGATGGCTAACTGACGTGAAAATGTTCTTTGTGGTTTCGTCCTTCAGTTCACTTTCTGTTCTGAGTGTTGAACTTGAAGTGTGGTCTATCACCAACTTGTTTGAAGGCTATCAACTCGATTTTGAAGGTCGCTTGCACTATATAGTCAGTAGTGTGAACCTACATCTGCTCCCCCTCCTCATCTCATCTTGTGTCCAGTAGGCTGGCTGCATCTCCATCTCCACTTTCGCCACATTCACATGAAGTCTATGTGATTGATTCTCAGTGTAGTGTATCCTGGTGTCTGGTCAAATCAAATCCATATGGCTGCCTCATGAATATCCTTGTGTTTGTACACACCGCCTCACCTCCAATCACCAAATCATTGAATGCTCAGAAGTCTGCAAACACTTCTCCATTCTCGTTCATCACCTCACGGTGTGCTTCTCAACCCATGATTGATTCTCTTCCTGTGTTGCCCACTCCCAGTTCCACATTCATGTCACCCAACCCAACCCAATCCAACCCAACCCAACCCAATGGAATGAATTTTGATGTCGCCATCGCCACCTGGAGTGTGGTCTTGTCCACTGCTGATTGCAGTTGTCTGTAGAATTCCTCCTCCTTCTCTTCCTGATCTGCATTATTTGTGGGTGTGTAGTGTAGTATTGTATGGTTGTGACTTTCCCTCCTTTCAAGTTGAATTCATCTTGCTGTCATGATCCTGCAGGAGGAGATTGGTTCCAACTACATGAAAGCCTTCGATTCTGTTGTAACATCATGATAACCACTCTAAAACTCAGTGTGCTGTACTCGTGGTTGTCGTCTGGGTGACAATATCGGAGTAGATTATTGACTCCTCTCCAGTTTGCAGAGTCCACTTCCATTCTATTCCATCTGCACTCACAGATTCCCTGCCTGGCATTTCTATGCCATACCTTCTCATCTCTTTTGCAATCCGGGCAGCCTTGCTAGGTTCATGCATAGTGCGGACATTACATGTCCCCTTGTTTACTTTCGCTTTAATCGGGAGAGGAGAAGGCACATTAGCCAATTGTCTTCCCGAAGGCTTTCACCAACCGGTGTTATTTCGTCTCTCTAATTCCAACGAGGAATAAGTTTATTTTTGTTTTCCATATTTTTTGTTCTTTGAAGTTTCTTTTAACGATTGGACTGGTATAGAAGACAGTATAATTTCTTAGACGTATCTCACGTAAAGTCAAAAGGGTCTGCCATGATTTGAAATCCAGGATTCACTTTTTAGTCGCCTGAATGAGAAATGTGCTTATAATGTCGTCTTTCAAAGTTAGACATAAACCAGAATTAAGTCAGATTGAGAAACGCCTACCAGATAATAGGTATTTCTTAGATATCATTCTAAAATATTAAATGAACAACAAAAACTTAGAGAATTGGTGAAACGTAGAAACAAGATGAATTCTCATGAAATCTATTTCCAAAGGTGAAAGAAATGCATGGAAAATGCACAAAAGGATTATAAGTGCCTTGTCTGAGACCTACTTATCAGCAAAGTAATTCAGTGCCAGTATGCTAGACAATGTATTCAGTTCGTTTATCATAGGTATGTAAGTGACTGACTGTTATGAGCCTAATTTTCGTTTACCAGTTTACGTGGAGATGTGAAAGCCGGTAAGAAGAAAAGATGTGGTACAACAATTATGCTTCATGGTTTTTTAAGATGTATTGAGGAATTCGATATCCACCAACCAGATTTTCTTTGCTAATGCCACAACGAGCCACTTGATGGACAGTGGACATAAATGGATTTCTTGAGTGTCTTGACAGTAGTCAATACAGTGATGAATTTAAGCAAACTTTGGTTTACCGCAGGTATCGGCATTAACTGAATACAATTCAACCTAAATTTTCGGAAACGAGTTTGTATATTTCTTCTTTTCTAGCTTTAAGTTTCGAGTTGAAATTATTATTATTATTATTATTTCCATTGTTACACTGAATAATTTTCATTTTCAATGATCAAAACTCTCCATATAACTATAGTAGTCTCTAATATAAGATTAAAACTTGAGCACTGTGGTAGATTAAGAACTCTGTTTTACTGTGTTTATTTGATGCATAACGCAATGAAAGAGGATACGTTTTCGTCTCTGCCAGTTATTCCAGAATAGTGACTATTCTGTCCGCCAAATGTTTGTCTGGTGTGACTTAAACTGAATACATATATTATTATTATTATTATTATTATTATTTTGTCCCCTGGGTTCCTAGTGGAACATAGGGCTTCAGTAGCACGCCTCCATTCCACTCTCTTATCTGTAGTCTTTTCAACCTTGCTCCACGACTCCCCACAAGTTTTCATTTCTTTCTCACATGATCTCCTCCATGCCACTCTCGGACATGGGTGTACATCCCGTTATTTTATTTCCTGTTCTCTACTTTCAAAATCTGAACTCGTATTGGCTTTTGAGTATCTAACCTTAAGTGGATCAGATGATAATTTATTGAAGTGAAGCCGATTCATCTTATTCTATAAACACTTTAGTTCATAAATTCAATCAAAAAAACCAAATATTACATCAGTCCTTTGCTACATCATCATTTGGTAACTGTAGCGAAATACCGCCCCTGATATTTCGTTATCCAAAAGACTTGATAGTAGTTTCTCACCCTCAACATCATATCTATTTAATTCACTAATAGGATTCTTATTGCATCTGATTAAATCCCAATAAGAATCCAGTTTCTGTCACTATACATATTTTTATGGTTTAATCCATCTTGGATAATATGGTGTTTTATTGACACGTGCATTTGACTTGTGGTTCATGTTCTGCCAGACATTCTGGAGAATAGCATCAAACGGGACTTGAATATCGAGAAGTATATTCTGATTGAAGGGTAATATGAACTGGGGACTAAATGTTCAACAATTAAGAAGCACCTAGTTATGTTGTTTCTTCCATGAAAGCATTTAACTATCACTTCATTCCCAAAAGGTTTGTGCTAGTCTTCCATGTCCTGAATATAATGATCTAAATCCTGATAATCTTGGCAAATATTTCAATGTAACTGATAATTACACCATTTGTATCAAGCAAGGAGGAGTATATTCGCTTGGTAAAGTGATATTATTTTATCGCACAACCACTCGTCAACTGCATGTAGGGTGTAAGTATACTGGTTATTAGGTCGTAATATAATTTAAAATTAAGAGGTGTACTTTGTAAATTATAAGGGCTGAAAGGAGGGTATCCAATCAATTCTCTGAACCTATTTCGAAGAATTTATGCTTGAAAGGAAGCAAGATTGCAAACAGTGCAATTGGCTGATAGACACAGGATCTAATGTTGATACCTCTGATACTTTCAAAATAGCAAACATGCAAACTGTCTAAAAAACTACGCGTAGCAGAAGTGATTGCTATAAAATGAGTTCAACTTGACGTCTGGTTATGTAAGGATAGTGTACCCAATCTCTTACTTTTCTGGTGACTATAATTTGATCTTGTTTCATTTCAATTGCATAATTTTTTATTTATCCCCTTTACTGTCAGTTGATATTCATAGCGTTTTTCTTAGAATGTATATATCGACCAGTAACTACTATCTCCAGAATATACTGCTTATCAAGTGACTGGCTTGCATTCATTGAACTCTTCGTTTGCAGTAGAAGTTAGGAAATGAATAAGAACGACCTTCGTAAGAAGACTAAAAGCATGTGATTGATGGTCTTCATGAAATAAAAGTTGCTGAATCTCTAAGTAACCGTTGTCTTCAAGTGCAAGTAATCACTATACGGATAAAACATAGTTTTTCATTACCACTTACAATTCAACAACCTCGCCTGTTCAACTAGTTCACTAGTTACTAGCCGGTCCTAAGCCCGGGTAAAGAGGGAAGGTTAGGTTTAGGGCTAGCAACCCTGCGCCAAAAAACCAATTCAACTGCTACGGAAACTGCAAAGCACAGACAAAGTATAAAAAATGAAAACAAAATTATTCCTCGCAGGAATCGGAGAGGCGAAATGACGCCAATTGGTGAAAACCTTCGGAAAGCCAATTAGCCGAAATGTCTTCTCTCAGTGAAAGCGAAAGTAAACATGGGGACATCTAATGTCCACAATATGTTTGAACTTAGCAAGGCTGCCCAGATTGCGAAGGAGATGAGAAGGTATAGCACTGAAGTGTTAGGAATTTGTGAAATCAGATGGAATGGAAGAGGACTCTGCAAACTTCCAACTGGAGAGTCGATAATCTACCCCAGTCTCGCAGACGACAACCACGAGCACACGGAGAGAGTGGCTATCATGATGTCCCCAAGTGCATCGCAGACTCTCATACAGTGGGAACTAATCTCATGACAGCAAGGTTCAACTCAAAAGGAAGGAAAGTCACAATCGTACAATGCTACGCATCTACAAATAATGCAGAAACTTGAAGGAAGTAGCCTCTTCCACCTATCTAGGCAGCATCGTTTCAACTACAGGCGGCACAGATGATGACGTCAAAGCCAGGATCGGAAAAGCAAGACAGGCGTTCATTAACCTGAAAGCAGTGTGGAGATCTTCTGCACTCAGCCTAAAATGTGAACAAAATCCGGATTTTCAACACCGATTCAGTCAATTCAGTGCTTCTATATGGATCAGAAATTTGGCGCTTTACGAAAGGCATTTCCAACAAACCACAGATATTCATCAACAACTACCACCTATGCTGGCTCGTTGCTGAAGATCAGATGGCCAGAAAGAATAAGCGACAAGGAACTCTGGGAACGAACCAACCAAAAACCTATCACTGAATAAATATGCAGAAGAAAGTGGAGATGGATTGGATTAAGGCATACACTGTGAACCCAGATGGGAAGTGACGAGTCGGGCGTCCCAGCTGAGGGTGACATACAGGAGATCATGTGAGGAAGAAATGAGAGCTTGTGGGCAGTCATGGAGCCAGGTTCAAAAGATTGCAGAGAACGGAGTGCACTGGAGACATTCTACTGAAGCCCTATGTTCCACTAGTAACCCGAGGGACAAATAATAATAATAAACTTACAATCCAACTAACGAATATATGCAGTTTATAAATGAACTCTTTGAAAACAATTATTTTTTGCACAGTGTATCTATTCTTTAGGTAAATAGTAGTGTTGTATTTCATCAAATGACCATTCGTTTGCATATTTAGTAAATGTACAATATCGTGTCTTTTATGGAAGGAAATTCTGAAGTGACTTGAACTTTCATTCACCTCTTTCAACCTATTAACAGAGCTCAAGATTTTTGAACAACAATAACCTTGTCTATATGGTTTAATAATATTTCTAATTTTCAAATCATTTTGTGTTATAGGCACCAGGTAATATGGGTCTTTGGGATCAACGTTTAGCAATGAAATGGGTTAAAGATCATATTGAAAACTTTGGTGGTGATCCTTATCGTATTACGCTTTTTGGTGAATCAGCTGGCGCTGTCAGTGTGAGTACACATGTTGTAAGCCCATGGTCTCATTCATATTACACCAATGCAATTATGCAGTCTGGTTCAATCTTCAGTAATTGGGGTCTAGCAACTAGTGAAATATCATTAAATCAAACACAAAGGTATGTTTAAGGTAGTATTCATCATGGAATGACACCATCTAGAGAACCACTGAAAAATTGGAAGCACTGGACAGCTACTTCTTTTTAGTATGAGATTCATCAGCAGTACGCATCCACTGCCCAAATGAAGGCCTAGGGTGATAGTCGTGCTATATCGTGAATTGACAGAAGTAGAAAACTGTGGACCATTGAACTCTGACTCAGTTACTGAATGGTCAACATGTTCACCGTGAAACCTTAAGGTTCTGAGTTTGATCCCTGGATGGTTTGTGGGTGTTTACTGCTGAGAAGTCCTACACTAGAACGAAACGGCTATCCAGTGTTCCCGGATTTTCAGTGGTTCCCCAACTGATGTCAGTGCATAATAAATAATAACTTGAAATAAATAAATAAATCCTCACAAACGTTCAGATTGAAAAACGGCAGTTTGTTTCATCTCATATTCAGTAAATCAATAGTGTATATTGACGATTCTGCTTCAGAGAGTTTGACAGGTTTAATCCACCAGTAACATAATTATATTATCCTTTCTGTATGAATCTTTGGGGGAGTAACAATTTATTCAATCCTACAAGTACAAATTCACGACCGAAAGTCAAGTACTCCCTACTAGCTGAATATCAAACCGTATAGCAAAAGGTATTGTATGCTGTCATACCACAGTCTAATAACTAGATGATGTCACTTATGGTGTAGAATGGGGAGACTGTTGTTAAATATAGCTCTACGTTAGTTTCTTTTTAAAACTTATTATACAGAAAGAATGCTTCAGCAAAGAAATTTACTGATTTATTTTCGAAACCTGTGCATAATTATCTATCATTCTTTTTTCATTATTGATTCATTGCTTGTGTTTTTGTTTCTGATGAGGTGATGTGATAGGGAGTTGTGCTTCAAAACGTGATACGTGGTTTCGGCGCTACTTTAAAGGTCACCTTAACGACTGCTAGAATAACTTATTACTCTCATCTACTTTACATAAAAGTACCCTTCCAGCTGAAATACAGAAATCTGATTGGTTATTTCGCCAGTTACTATGGCAACCTTTAAAGTCAATTTGGTTTCATCAGTGGTGTAAATATTTTCTAAAAGTATATCAAAATAAATGGGGATATATGGGGATATGGGGATATATGTTAATAATAACATCTCGTCAAAAAGCAAAGATACACAGGCAATGATTAAAGAATGAAAAGCCCTCTAGAATATTTCAAATGGTACTATTTACTTTAAAGTGTTTCAGACACTTAGTTTTCCATAGCCATGTCAAAGAAATCCGCAGTTTTCAGATGAACTTCTTGTGAACGTAGACCTTTCCTTCTTTTATTAAAGAGGCAGCAGAATATTCAGATATTTGAAACATGCGTTGAATGATTCTCATTACATGTGATCTTTATTGAATTAATGAAAATTGCATTCAGCTGTCGATTCCTCCATCTAAGTAGATGCAATTTCCAATTTTTTTTCCTTTATTCCATCTTGTATAATTGAAAGCAAAGCTATCGCTGAGGTTTTCTTCTAATTCCTCAGTTCATAAGGGTTCGTAATTCTTGACTTAGCGAAGTTTCAACACCTGTACTGTAACTCGTTCTAGTCGACTACTTTGACTTACATTGATGACCTGACAGTCACGTACTTTGATCAAAACTCCGAACAGCTTATTTATTCCATGTTTTCAGTCTGATCCCCCTACGCTTACAATGTGGAAAAGCATCATCAATGAAATTATTAAATAAGATATAAGTTGAATGAAGCACTTTAGTCAGTTAAAATCACAACTTTGCTAAGAGATAAAACTCTTCAATGCTTTTCACCGATAGAATATGAAATCAAAACTGTTCGTGTGTAGTTTACCATTTTGTTTTCTATAAAACACTTTGTCAAATGCATCCATCAGTTTAAGATGAGCTGTAAGTAATATCTTCACATCCAGTGAGGGCAGCTCCTCTATAAAGGTAAGATTGTTGGTTATAGACAACATCTTCCGCTTTCATGAGGTTTTCATACTGACTGATAACTCCGAACTTGATCAAAAATATTATTTGGAGTAAGATGATCATTATTATTTTCGATAACATGAAAACTCTCACTTGGACATTTAGAAAACAAACAATATGAGCGAAGAAATATCTCTACGAAATTTGTTTTTTATCAGTGTCTATACACTAATATAAAGTATTCTCTCTAAAAGTATCAGTGGGGTGATAATTAATCAAGGTAATTACAACTGTAGCACAATTTGGGAAATGTTTTACAGATCGTTGCATAATCGATAGTTTGCATAATACTAACGAACACAGAAAGAATAGACAGCGAGTTATTATGTCAAGTGGTCAATTGGTCACGGTAATTACATACAAGAGGAGGAAGAACAAGCCGACAAAAACCTGTAGCAATAATCACAACCATAATAATAATAATAATATTGATAAAGGCATGTGGAGTGAATGAATTGAAGGGTGATGTTGTCATACAGATAAACTATGCAGATGACAAAGTCAAAGAAAGAGGCTGTACGAATTTCTTCTGAATACATAGACTCAGCTTGTTCAGTTGGATTCCGATGGCTTCTGATGTATGTAAAAGACGAACTGTTAGAGAATGGATGAGGTTAGAAGGAATGTGATAAATGACTGTGAAGGTGTTGTGAATATTAAAGTGGTGACTAATGTCGACGAGATGAGAGAGTATTGAGTTGTGTATCGACTTCATAACGTATGATGTTCGCTGATACAAAGACGGACTTACGCATTATTGTTTGCTGATAATTTTTATGAATAGCTTACTTTCATTTTGATTAATTTTAGATTTTGAATTAGTAGTTTGTAGAATTTTTATGCGTTTTCCCAATCGACACAGATGTATCAAAACATGGGATCGTTAGTATCATCTCCTAGCTTTCTTATACCTTACTAGTTTCAAACTAATTCTTAAATGTAACTACATAAACATAGCACGTCATATTTGATTATGGTTAAATAATGGATAGGAAGATATCAGTTGGAGGATCTGATGTCAGTCTACTATGAATAACAACTTGAAATGTCTAAATAATCACCTAATCAAATGTACTAATTTGGTTCTTTAGGGTTGTATGGCTTTCAATAAAACCTTCCTTATATTCATATAGAAAGAACGGTCAACTTAACCTAATCTCTGAGGAATTCCAAGGTGTCGTAATTATTCACTGCAACTTGTTAGTAAATACCTAGAAGTTGGTAAGCTATTTTACAGGTAGAAATCCGTCTCTTTTGACAATGGTTCATCACCGAATAAAAATCCATAGTATCCTTAGAGTAAATATCCTCTCGAAGTTGAATTTTCAATTGACATCAACGATTTATAACCCTATACTCCATATTTAATCCAGTTTAAAGTGTAGGAACGCACTTACTTCTACTATAACTGGATCTTTAGATATCAAAATCAAAGTTTGACGTGATATTAGTAAAAAGTTGAGCACTCAATCCAATTCGCAAATGGCTTACTTATTGTACTGTTCATTTCCAACACTTCCTATACCTGATTAGTTTTTCAACTTCTCATCTGTGGTATCAATAGACCTCTGTTGGAAAGCGAAGTTCACCAACTGTAATCTGTGTCACATGAGTGTCATGAGCATTATGAAGTATACTATTGACTAATTTGAGACATAAAAAATCAATCGGACTTGTCTACAGATTTCTCTTATCCTTTTAGAGTGATGTAAGCATGAAATAGCTGTCTCATTCTTTTCCAACTGAGCTCATAAGTGATGTGTACCAGCATGTTCAACTAGAAACAGGTAAAACAGTCGTCTTGTGTTTACATCACTATTAGGTTATTATCTAGACTTGTAGATTATAGTCAGCCATTTCCAGCTACTCATATTGTTCATAAATAAACATTGATAAAACCTTTCGGAAAACTTTTAACATAATATTTACTTTCTCTTATTGGTTAGACTTGCAAAAATACTTAACTGTGGGCATAAATCATCTAATGATCAAATCAAATGTCTACGTTCAAAGTCAATTGAAGAAATTTTAGACGCTCATGATACAATGTATGATCCAGCTAGTTATTTTTCTGTACCATTTCCACCTGTACTTGATAATAATTTTTTTCCATATGAAAATAGTCAATCATTTCGTCAATTAAGATATCTTAAACCATCAGGTGCATTAATGTTTGGTATTAATAAAAATGAAGGCAGTTACTTCTTGTTATATGCATTTGTAACAAATTCAAAATGGATGAAAAATATAACAGATTTACCAATTTCTAATCGAATAGATTATTTAAGATGTTTAAGACAAGTTTTAGATTTAGATGATGATGATAAACCTGAATTCACTGAACCATTGATACGTTATACAGATTTTGAATATCAAACGTATGAACACTTGGTAAGTTATACCATTAGTAAAATAAATCTTTAACATTATTTTTTTTCCCCTCAATTTAATCAACTCTGAGTGAACAGATTAGTCAACAGATAGTAGGTTCAATTGAGAATAAGTTTAAGTTACTAAATTAGATAGAAATGAACTAAAAATAGAATAATTGTTTTTATATGATACAGTCGTTGCTTGGACTGAATTGATCGGTCTCTATTGGTATATGGGCTCCTGTGCGGATGCCTCGATACTGTCTGCTATCTAATTGTATTAATGATGGATTGTGGCTAGCAGTGGAATCCAGGATGCGCATTTGGTCTTATTTGGGACTCGTCAGCTGGATGTACCTGCTTACAAGTATAACAATTACAGTAAAATAATTATACTAAAACTATATCCATCGCACAAGAAGTGGCTATCGTGGCTCAGTGGTATAGTGGATAACGCTCTGGCGTTTGAGGCGATTGCTGCGGAGTCCAAATCCTGGTGGGGACAATATCACTCACTGGGAAGCAGGTTCAACTAGCTGACGAGTTCCAAATAGGACGAAATGTGCATCCTGGATTCCACTGCTAGCCACGATACATCGTGAACTAAAAATGATCAAAATAGTCTTAAAATCTTCAAACACTCAAAAAGAATCTATTCATCTACAAGATTTAGATTTAACCAAATACCTTGGAAAAATTTAAATTAATGTTGGCCAGTTAATCAATGTCTATAAAGATGTATATTTTGTTTTACTCCGTCATTCTGTAATCCAGCATACCTTAAATCATTTCACAAATTAAAAATGGTTAGAAGTATTCATAAGTCGACATCATCATTTCTTATCCTTTTAAAGTCTGTAAAGCACTTCATAATCAATATTACAACATATTACTTTGATGTCATTGGTTAGTTAAGTCAGTCATCATCTTTCTACATAGAAGAAAAATCAATTTTAGTTCAGAATTAGATGATTTTATTTCTAGGTCTAGCTGAAACATACCCATTTTCTACGTTATAAGCATGCCATAGTGATTAGCTGAAACAAAATAATATCAGAGTCCTTCTCCTTGGTATATTCACATAAATTACATGAGATTTATGACTTATCGTCTTCATACCAACTGAAAAACAACAAATGTTATTACATTTTCATTTATAAATCTGAATATGTCATATGTTATTTTGTCGCCATATTAGTTTAGCAATAAAAGCTGGAGATTTAAACGGAAGGGATAGGATATTATTCAAAATAATCACTATTTCATACTTAGTTTTGCTGTCAACAAGATTCTTTCCTATATAAATACAAAGTTGATCCTATCCAGATGATATTTTTTTATAAAATTAGATATTCAAACTGATGTTCACTGACACCTTAAGCTAACTTTTATAACAAAAAAGTGTCAAATATTTTCAAAATAATAAATCTTAAAGGTTATACATCAGCTTATTTTCTTCATTTCTATGCTAATTATATAGTCGACAAATAATTGAATTCCGTGTAGCACATAGCCAGCCAATGATAAAAAGAAGACAGTTTTCAATCACTGAACTGGGATTTTCACTTCAACAGAAGTAAAGGAACTGAAGAAGGGACTTAACTTTAATGTTGCAGTTAGTGAATTCAAACCTGAAGATGTCATTCCTAAAATTGAGATATCATTAAGTTCAATAGATAAGGCAGTGATAGATGAGGTTCGAGCACAATGTGCTGTAACATTTAAGAGACAGAAGATAAGACATAATTTACTAAGAGTAGAAACAAGAAGCTTTGATAGACTTTCAAAATGACAACAATACAGTAATTGCTAAATCAGACAAACGCAACTCAACAGTAGATTTAAAAGAAAACTGATCATGTCCAGAAAGTCAAGAAATATATAGAAATAGGACCATACAAAGAAGTTAAGAAACCAATGGACACTATTATGAGAAAATTTATATGATCTATGATCAAGATTTGACTGAATGGTGTGGAAGGAATTGGGTGCTCAATAAAAAGTTGACATTAGATATAGTTTGTATTTGTGTAAGTCATAACATGTCTGAAATGAAATAATCCCCGAGTTTGGTTCAGGGAAAGAATCCAAAATGAAATATTGACGATATACAAATGAACCATGAGAATCATTCGAATTATTTCATTTCAAATAGCCTGTGACTTAAACAAATACAAACTATGTCTAATATTACGAATAAGGTAAAAAAAAACCCACTGTGGATCTAATATGCCAAATGAAGCCATTTCTGTGTCAGTCGAAATGGTTTGATTTAGTGTCAAAAATTAATAATCCCAGTAGGATTTATGGTACTATAAAGCCAAAATACCCTATTAGACTCCAATATATGACTTATCTAAATACTCAGCAACCGTACTATGTTTGATTAGAAACTGTTCTGAATCAAAATCCACTGACTTTGATGACTTGAAGCATAGATTATATGACATAAGTTTAGATAACAATGAAAAAATAGCTACCTTTGATGTAGTTAGTTTGTATATTAACATACCGATTGACATTTCTCTGGAAACCGTAGGAAACCAGCTCAAAAATGATCATGAGCTTACTGTACGAATTGAAGTACCAGTAGACGACATCATATTGGGAGTACAGCAATGCCTAACTTCCATAAACTTTAACTTTGGAGAAAAAATATAAAAACAAACAGGAGGAGTTGCGATGTGATCAATAATATCCTCTTTTTGGCTGACAAATTTATGGATAGTTGAGAACAGATAGCTGTAAAAACATCCAGTCCGACTTCAAAGGTATGGTTTCGATATGTAGCACATACATAGTCCCTTCAAACATAAATTCAGAAGTCAACGGAATCCAATTCACTAACGAATTAGAAAACAGTAAATTATCCATGTTGGATTGCTGCATAAACCGGAAACAAGATGAGAGTTAAGATATTAGTGTCTACAAAAAACCTTCACGTTAAAACTCTACTCAAAGTACAAATCGCCACATCCAAAGTAAAATAAGGCCTGGTTAACTAGTTTACTAGTTACTAGCCGGTCCTAAGCCCGGGGTAAAGAGGGAAGGTTGGGCATAGGGCTAGCAACCCTACCCCGTAAAACAAATCTAACCGCTAAAGAAACTTCAAAGCACAAACGATATATAAAAAATAATAACAAAATTATTCCTCGCTTCAATCGGAGAGGAGAAATGACGCCAGTTGGTGAAAGACTTCGGGAAGCCAATTGGCCGATGTGTCTTCTCTCGATGAAAGCGAAAGTAAACGTGGAGACATGGAATGTCCGCACCATGTTTGAACCCAACAAGGCAGCCCAGATTGCTAACGAGATGAGAAGGTATCACATTGAAGTGTTTGGAATTCGCGAAAGCAGATGGAATGGGAGTGGACTCTCCAAACTGTCAACTGGAGAATCAATAATCTACTCCGACATTGTCACCCATGCGACAACCATAAGCACACTGAATTATGGAGTAGCTATCATGATGTCCTCTCCCAACAGCATCGAAGGCTGTCATGCAGTGGGAACCAATCTCCTCCACAATCAGGATCATGACAGCAAGGTTCAACTCAAAACGAAACAAATTCATGATCATAGAATGCTACGCCACACACCTACAAATAATGCAGATGAAGAGAAAAAGGAGGGATTCTACAGACAACTTTAATCAACACTAGGCAAGACTCCACTCCAGTTGGCGATATCAAAAACCTAATGGGTGACATGAATGCCAAACTGGGAGCAGGCAACACAGGAAGAGAACTAACCATGGGTCGAGAAGCGCTCGGTGAAGTGATGAACGAGAATGGAGAATCGTTTGCAGAATTCTGTGCATTCAGCGACTTGGTGATTGGAGGCGAGGCAGTGTGTTCAAGCACAAGGATATCCACAAAGCGAGCGACATGGATTTCACCAGACACCATGACACACTACACTAAGAATCAAATCGACTTTATCTCAATCTCAAGAAGATGGAGATGCAGTCCACTTGACACAAGGTCAAGAAGAGGAGCAGATGTAGGTTCACACCACTCACTATCTAGTGCAAGCAACCTACCTTCCAAATCAAGTTAGAAGCCTTCAGAGGAAGTGGTGATAGATCGCAGTTCAAGTACAACACTCGGAAACTGAAGGATGAAACTACAAAGGAAATCTTCACGGCCGCCAGCCATCAAGACAAAATGGGAGATATCGAGGAACATCCCTGAAGAAAGCTGTGTGGAAGAACACTGGCACTCTTCGAAAGAGATGTGGAAAGAAACCTGCACAGCCGTATTAGGAAGGAAGAGGAAAGAAGACAAGGAATGGATCTCGACGGATACCTGGAAGCTGATAGAGCAGGGAGAGGAGGATGGTGAAGCAGAAGATAACCCAGTGCAAGGATGCACAATGACAGGAGGAACTGAGCACAATGTACAAAACAATACACTGGACAAAGAAGTGAAGAAGAGTGCATGAAAGACAAAAGACACTTCTACGACACACTGGCAAGTGAAGCAGAACAGGCTGCCGGCTGGTAGGAGAGAGAGACCTGATGACATTGTATCAAATAACTAGGTCGCTATCTGGGAAGAGATCAACACCGATGAAACCGATAAGAGATGATGAAGGAAATTTAATTGCGAAAGCAGAGAAATAAGTCAGCGATGGGCTGACCACTTCAAGAAGCTCTTGAATCGACCACCACCACCACCACCACCACCACCTGCACTTCGTCCAGAAATACCACATGCAGCCCAGCCACAGAACTACAAGTGAACATAAATCCTCCAACAAAAGTGGAAGTCCTGAACGCCATAAAGCTACTGAAATGCGGGAAAGCAGCAGGACCAGATGGGATCCCTTCAGAAGCACTGAGAGGAGACGCGGAGACAACAGCGGACATGCTCAGACCACTATTGCAGAAGGTGTGGAAGGAAGAGAAAGTACCTGTCGACTGGTAAAAGGGTTACGTTGTCAAACTCCTGAAGAAGGAAGACCTCAGTGTTTGCAAGAACTGGCTCGGAATCACTCTCCTGTCCACCCAAAGCAAGCAAAATATTAGGTCGCATCATCCTGTAGAGGCTAAAGGATGCACTGGATTCAAAACTGCCACCGGAACAGGCAGGCTTCAGGAAGTACAAATCATGTGCAGACCAAAATGCAACGCTTCGCATCATCATAGAACAGAGCATAGAATGGCAATCAGCTCTCTACCTCAACTTTATCGACTTTGTGAAGGCCTTCGACAGCGTCGACCGAGAAGTAATTTGGAAACTGCTTCAATACTACGGAATACCGCAAACCTTTATCAGCCTCATTCAACAACTATATGAAGATGCCACATGCCAGTCAAGTAATTCACAATGGGAAGCCCAGTGATGCTTTTGAAGCGAAAGTGAAGACAGGAGTGAAACAAGGTTGCCTACTATCCCTCATGATATTCCTTATTGTGGTGGACTGGATCATGCAGCAAACAGTGGGGAGCTGTGAGAAGAGGGGGATCCGCTGGCTGAACCGCGGAAAAGAACCTAGAAGATCTGGATTTCGCCAGTGATGACTAGTGTCTGATGTCACACAAACTTGAAGATCTACAGGCGAAAACTAACAAGTTGTCAGAAGAGGCAGGGCAGCGAAGGAAGACGGGACTTCAGGTGAATATAGAGAAGACAGAGGTGATGAAGATACCCAACCAACAACAACAACAAGCTCCAATCACCATCAACGGGAGAAACTTAAAGGAAGTAACCTCCTTCACCTATCTAGGCATGCAGCACTGTTTCAACTACAGGCGACACAGGCACAGACGAGGATGTCAAAGTCAGAGTCGGAAAAGCAAGACAGGTGTTCATTAACCTGAAACCAGCGTGGAGATCTTCTGCACTCAGCATGTGGAACAAGATACGGATTTTCAACACAACTCAGTGAAGTCAGTGCTTCTGTATGGTTGAGGGAATTGGCGCGTTACGAAAGGGATTTCCAATAAACTACAGACAGTCATCAACAACTGCTTATGCTGGCTCGCTACTGAAGATCAGATGGATTGCCAGAAAGAATAAGCAACAAGGAGCTCTGGGAACGAACCAACCAAGAACCTATCACCCAACAAATATGCAGAAGGAAGTGCAGATGGATTGGATTGGCCATGCACTGAGAAGACTGACTGAGGACATCACGCGTCAGGCCAGTTGCTCGAGTGGAATCCCCATGGGAAGCGACGAGTTGGACATCCGAGGGTGACATGGAGGAGATCGTGCGAGGAAGAAATGAGAGCTTGTGGGCTGTCGTGGAGCCAGGTTCAAAAGATTTCAGAGAACAGAGTTCACTGGAGACGTGCTACTGAAGCCCTGTGTTTCACTAGGAACCCAAGGGACTAATAATAATAATAAGGATAACTCAAAGTTGTGTAGTTATCTTAGTGTGACTATGGATAGTAAATTAGGTCCTAAAAGCAATCCAGTAAATGACAATACTACTTTTTTGAGATGAATGGGGATTTTTCAATGGTTCCCCAACTGATGTCAGTCCATGATGAATACTACTTCTAAATACTGTTTTATCACTGTATGATACATCCAGTAGATCAACTGAAATAGGATTACAGTCTACCACAGTGGACAAGTTTTACGGTTATATTAACTTTAAATATCCGCAGAGTATCATAAAAATGATATTAGAGATTAAAACGCTCACTTTGAAGTAGATTTTCTCATCATGAATGAAAATCACTGATTGACATCATACACTAACTCGACTCATATATATGTCTCAAATTACATTAGTACTTTTAAGAGATTTACAAATTTCAGGTATACTGTCAAAAGTCTATTGTAGAAACCTAACTTAGACAACTGGAGATTTGTGGGGATTAATTGATTTCAGGGCAGCATTCATCACTGGTTGACATCAGTTAGAGAACCAGCAACATTGGACAGTTGTTCTGTCCACGTCTACGATTCCTCAATACTGCACACTCATGACCCCACCAGTTATCGAACCGACGACTTTTTAGGTTTCACAATGAGTACTTTACCATGATGAATACCACTTTCGAATCCCTAATTTGTTTAATCAAAGCAATAGAATCATTCTCCTGTTATCAAGTTTATTATAAATTGGATTTCAGTTTTACTTCTTAATTCTACTCAAGTTCTATGCTTATTCCGCTATCAAGTTCTTCTTACAGTATTCAAATATTTGTATGGATCTGAGACATGAAGACTTCACCAGATTAAAAAGGTAACAGTTCAAAGATAATATAAGAATTACACTAAAAACTGGTGAATATTTAGAAAGACTAGTAACTGAAGGAGAATACTCTTCATGAAATGATGTTAACTGAATAAAGACGAAGTAAAACTAAGCATAAAAAATTTCTTTTATCCTTTCTACTATAAGAGTTCAGGTGAGCCTGAAGTTCTAATGAGTCAGTAATGAAATTTAACTGAAAAATCAATAACTCAGTATAAGTGATTTCCTTTGACTTGTGAAGTTCCCACTTTTGAGGGTTACTAAATTTTGTCTTCACTTAATTTCTGTCGTTTCTACTTATTGACTAAAAATACTGTTCTCATCAAAAATGAATAAACAATTATCAAATTTTTGAGATGAATGGAGATTTTTAATTTAGAGGTAGTATTCATTATTGACTGACATCAGTTGGGGAACCACTGAAAATCTGGGAACACTCTATAGCCGTTTTGTCCTAGTATGGGACTCCTCAGCCGTATGCAACCGCTACATGGCTACAGATGCAAGTCATGACCTTCAGGTTTCATGGAGAACGCGCTAACCATTCAGCCAGTTGGTCGGTTGCCAATGGTTCACAATTTCCAACTGATGGTTTCTAACTGATATCAGTCCATGATGAATACTACTTCTAAATTAAAAATCCCCATTCATCTCAAAAATACATTACTCTCTAGTGCTCTGCTCATTAGTGACTTGCTTCCAGATGAATATCACGAAGCTCTAATGAAAAGCCGTGACCTGTGAGGTCAACCAGTCGGAAGTGAACTAGATGCTAACTGAAGACAGACCTTGGCTGATAGTCACGCTATATCATGGTGAATTGACAGAAGTTGGAAATTGTGAAGCATTGGAAACCGACCCAGTGACTGGATTGTTAGTGCATTCGCCGTGAAACTTGAAGGTCCTGAGTTCGATCCCAAGCTGGGTTGCGGTTGCGTACTGCTGAGGAGTCACATACTAGAATGAAACAGCTGTCGAGTGCTCCCAGATTTTCAATGGTTCCCCAAATGATGTTAGTCCATGATGAATACTACTTCTAAATTAATTAATTGTAAATTATTTGATTAATAACTAATGTGATATTATTTTAAAGTGTATTTTTTAAAATTTAGCCTAGTTTAAAAAGTTGGACTGAAAGACTCGAAGAAATAAGCAGTGATAGGAGCTTTAAATGTCCTACGATCAATATGGCGACTGCAGTAACCAATGATTATCGTATACCTGGTCGACGTCGTGCTCATACTCTACCAGTATACTTTTATGAATTTCAGCACAGGACAACCTCAGTACCAATGCCTCAATGGACTGGTACTATGCATGGTTATGAAATTGAATATGTTTTTGGTATACCATATAGTCCTCAATTTCAAGCTACATTTTATCGATTCACAGATGAAGAACGTCGACTTAGTGATATAATGATGACATACTGGGCTAATTTTGCACGTACAGGGTAAGTTAATTCCGTGAATAGTTTTTGTAACCTCATCTCATTAATTTGATACGAATACTTCTTATCATTTTAACTGAAATTTGTATAAGTGTTTGTGGTTTGTTAAAGTTATCTAACGATTCAGCTTTATCTTTATGGTTTCAAGAAAAATCATTGAAAAAAACTGACTTTAAAGAATAAATCCATTACATGTATCTTAATAGAAACCTTAGTTTTACGGATTAATTATATTTCTACTTCATTTCATCTTCAGGTGAAATATATTTTCATCTTGCTTATTAACCATTAACTAGTCTAAATGTAAAGCCTTGAAAAATTCTCCTATATGCTTAAAATGTCATTAATTCAAGATTTCCAAGCCTTTCAAATTGAATATGAATGAATGAAAACTACTATTACTATTCAGTGATATAAGGAATGGTGTACTGTGTAGTTTGGGTGGACACCTTTTATATGTATCTACATGAAGATAGCTTAGAGGATCACTTTTTTCTTATAACAAAGAAAATTCACAAGCTATTGTTGTTTTAATACTTGTCATTCCCCTTAGCTAAACAGGAACAAATCATTTAACCTCTGTTGACAGATAGTCTCTTCTGTGGATGCCTTGTTGTTGCTCAGATATTCATTATGTTGTATTCCTCTTGGTGACTAGCAGTCGAATCCGAGATGTGTATTTCGTCTTATTTGGGATTTGTCAGTTGGATGTATCTGCACTCCGATGATTGATACTGGTTCCAATGAAACTCGATCCCAGTATCCATCGCCTCAAACACCAGTTGACTTCCTGAATTCCGAGATGAAAATAGATTCTCAGACTATTTCAATTATTCTATTACTTTCAATTTGACTTTAAATTTCCATCCACAAGTGAACAGACTTAAATATCTTGCGTGACACTTATCCGAAAAAAAGTTCCACAGGTGAATCCAAAAAATTTCCATGATGTTGTACAGTATGACTCATTCCTCATCTTTATGGTTTCTTTTACTGTTGACACTAATTTTGAGCTATATTTTGATAAACTTGTGCATAGATGAATAAAGCAGACATATATTTTCCCTGTCCTTCATGAAGAATCATTACTGAAGTACTATGAGAGTAGAATTCTGGCATTTTGGGCATTCTGAATGATGTTGAGAATGTAACTCATCGGTTATAAACAAATCAAGAAAGTCACACGACGTTCTAATCCTGTTTCAACGGTTTGACTATCTTTCATATTCTTTGATTTAATCAGTATTAAAATATTCAAAATGTCTTCATTTAGTGTTGCGTCGTTCTTATCATTTTTGTCAGGTGTCGATTCGTTAAACAAGGCTTCAGTCAAATATTACTACTGAACAACATGAGTAGTTGGAAACCAAACAGGTTGATCTGTAAACTTCTTCCTTCAGATCAAAGTGACTTAAACACCAGGTGGTCACTTCGCTTGTTTATAACCAAGCTCATTAGTGATGTGCCCGAAAAAACTCAGCTTTCAGATCCTACACCGGAGTTGTACACTTGAAAACAAATCAGCTGTGAGAAATGTTGACATGAACCGTACAATCTGAAAATCACTTGGAAATTGTTTACCTTATTTAAGATGATTCAGTTGGTCCAAACAATTTCGCTCCATGCGATCGGCCTGAAACGAGTAAAACGGTTCTCCACTGGTCAGATCACTCTCATCTGGCTGATGAAATACAACAGATTAACCTGTATAGTTAGAAATAGTTCATTTTGGTTAGGGCTTCAATCAGCAATTTCTTTATCAACTTAACTATCTTTCCGATGATTATCGCTCTCTCCCATCCTATTGCGTTTGTGTGTGTGTGTGTGTGACAGAATGTGTATAAAATGCCTGAGCTCTTTCCTAGGAATTCTTATCTTCTTAGGGTCTACCATTCTAAATCTGAATCGAGCGAGAACTACAGTTTTAACAGGATGGTAACGGTCCACTTTATTTTTGCGTTTCTTATACGCTGTTTCCAATCTAGAGCAATTAAAATATCAAATGATGCGAAAAATTGACTTGCTTTAATCAATTTGATAGAAAATTACAGGTTTCAAGAGGCGAAAACACATATCACGCAATTGATGTCACATGACTTGAATGAATAGATGTACAAAAAAAGAACTAATAATTAGGATTATTTTTGAGGTGAATGGGGATTATTAATTTAGAGGTAGTATTCATCATGGACTAACATCAGTTGGGGAACCATTGAAAATCTGGGAGCACTCGACAGCTGTTTCATTCTAGTATGTGACTCCTCAGCAGTACGCAACCACAACCCGACTTGGGATCGAACTCAGGACCTTCAAGTTTCACGGCGAATGCACTAACAATCCAGTCACTGGGTCGGTTTCCAATGCTTCACAATTTCCAACTTCTGTCAATTCACCATGATATAGCGTGACTATCAGCCAAGGTCTGTCTTCAGTTAGCATCTAGTTCACTTCCGACTGGTTGACCCCACAGGTCACAGCTTTTCAATGCAAACATGCAAACATTTATTTTTTCTGGCATAATAAATCTTAACTTCCCAGTATTGTCTTCTGTTCCTTTCAATAGCGTGGGGATAGTATTTTCAGTGATCAGTATAAACTGTAATGTCTCAAAGTCTTAAGTGTAAAACGATAATTCCTAATTCAATTTCGAGGTTTTTGGGGATTTATTTATTGATTTCAGGTTGGTATTCATTGTGGACTAGTTCAAGTGATGTTAATCAGTGATGAATACAACGTTTAAAAATTAAAATCCTCATAAACTTCAAACTATATTACTGTGTAGTCCTCATTGGCACCATGCTTTGAGATGGATATCCCAAAATTCTGATGAGGACCCGTGACCAGTATGGTTAACCAGTCGGAAGTGAAGCGGAAACCGACTGAACACCTTGAATGATAGTCACGCTATATCGGAAACTAACTGACCAATGAATTCCGACTCAGTGGGTCAGCGCCAAAATGATCATCGTGAGATACCTAGAGTTCCTGGGATCGACCCCTTAGTAGGTTGTAGACATTCACTAATGAGGATTCCCTTCCTCGAACGAAATAGTTGTCCAGTGCTTCCAGGTTTCTTCAAATGACATTGGTCTGTAATGAATACAATCTTGAAACTGACATGCACTGTTGGTCATTAAATGAACAATGTGTCAAGCTTCTAAACATTTTCTGACATTCTTTTTATTCCATCTGTCCAATACTTTCGTGTTTCATCAGTTGAATCATTGTTAACAATTGTGAACATGTAAAGAGGTCATTCTGCCTGACCTCATTCGTTACACAATACTTCATGTATGTGACAGTCGCCTAATCAATCATAAAAATAGTGGAGAATATTTGTAGCTCAGCTGGATGATCTTGGTTGTATTGTGTTCTCTGAGCTGGGTTGTTTAATCATGGAGCTTTCATCTTCTTTCTAGACGAAATCATCAGCACTAACTTTAGTATGAAGTGAGCTGTCATTATCTCTCCGTGAGTGATTTAGTAGCTTGCCCTGACAAACTGGTTTGTGATTGGTTATTTCCGTTGATTGTTGTCATTGATCAAACAGATTTTCTTGTAAGCTGTTCCTCTGTTTGACCTTTGATCCTTCTATCGTTTGTGATTTTCAGTATTGGTCGATAGATTAGGTCTATGTCTATACATCTGTTGTTTGCTGACTGACTGACCTGAATGACAAGCTTCTAGGAATTCTCTGACATTCTTCGTGTTTCCTCTGTCCAAAATTTCTACATTGTAGAAATTGAATTCATGTCTATAGTTGTTATCTATGTGCATTGAAATGAGTGACGAAATGTGGTGGCGTTTAATAGCCAATTGGTTTTCAAGTAGACGAAGGAGAAGAGGGTGGCCACTTTGTCCAATACAGTGCTGACTACAGTTATTGCAGTTGATTTTGTAAATGAAATTCGGTTTGTCTTCTTTGGTTGTTGCATCCTTTGGTTTGCACAATTGTGCTCGCAAGGAATTTGTTGGTTTATGAGCCACACCAATTCCACCAAGTGGTCTCAGCAATCTTGTCATGATTTCTGATACATTCTTTATGTATGGTAGGAAGATGCATTTGTTGATTTGTGTTGATGACTTTGTGGTTGGTGATGCACTGGATAGGCATCTTCTGACAAACTTTCGTGGGTAGCCGTTCTTCTTTAGGGTGGACATCAAGTAATTTTCTTCGTTTCTCAGTGTTTTTGTGTTGCAGTGTGTTTTCGCTCTTTTGAATAGAGTCTTCACGCAACTGATTTTGTGTGTTGTTGCTACTGTAGTTGAGGATTTGGTCAGTGTTTGTTGTCTTCCTGTACACTTGGGTTTCCAGCTTTCCGGCATTTGTCCTACTGACTAAAACATCCAGGAATGGTAGTTGGTTGTTTGACTCTTTCTTCATTGTTTTTTTATGTCATTGAAAAAGTTGTTGATCAAACTGTGGGTGTTTTCTATTTCATCCTTTTTAATGATGACAAAAGTGTCATCCACATAGCAAATCCAGATTTTTGGTTTGATCATAGGTAGGATAGTGGCTTCCAGTCTCTGCATCACTGCTTCTGCAATTCGTCCGGATATCGGTGATCCCATTGGGGTTCCTTTCATCCGTTTGTATCTCTTGCCGTTGAATTGGAAGTATGTTGTCAAACAAAAGTCGATGAGTTCCATCAGACTTGAAGATTTAGGTTTTATGCGTTCTGTAAGGCTTATGTCTTCATTGAGCAGAAGGGACATAGTTTCCTTGGCCAATTGGAGTTCGATGGATGTGTATGGTGCTGTGACATCGGAAGATACCACTAACTCGTCGCTTTCTATGTTGATGTTTTTGATCTTTTCTAAGAATTCCGCTGGTAACTTGATGGAATGTCCTCATGGTTGAACGAGGTGTTTCAGCTTTCTCGAAAGTTCACTTGATATGTTGTATGTTGGAGTTCCTGGAAGTGAGACTATTGGTAGTAGAGGTATATGGCATTTGCATAGTTTTGGTTTGCCGTAGAACCGAGGAAGAACAGGTCCATTCAATTTTATTCTCCATTTGTCTTGCTTTGTTATTTCTTCTGCTTTGAAGAGTTTGTTAGAGGTTTTATTGATCTGGTTATCGAACTTCTGGATAGAGTTGATCTCAAGTGGCTGATACACATTTCAGACTTTGAGTAATTCCTCTGCCTTCTTAATACAGTCTTCTTTGTCCATGACTACTGTAGTGCATCCTTTTTACGCTGGAAGTATAACGAAATCTCTCCCATTTTTCAGTCTTTTTAATGTTTTCTGTTCTTAAGTGTTAATTTGAACATGATGTCTCTTCTGCTTGGTTAGTGATACGATTGATTTCCGTATTTCTTGTTGAGTGACCTCATTTAATTCTGATGTTTTAAGTAACGATTCTTTGCAGCATTAGAATGGTCACTTAAAACATCAGAATTAAATGAGGTCACTCAACAAGAAATACGGAAATCAATCGTATCACTAACCAAGCAGAAGAGACATCATGTTCAAATGAACACTTAAGAACAGAAAACACTAAAAAGACTCAAAAATAGAAGAGATATCGTTATATTTCCAACAGTCAAAGGATGCACACCGGGGAGATATTGACAGGTCACTTCATATCACTTCATACTGAAGTTGATGCTGATAATGCTGTCTAGAAAGACGATGAAAGCTTCACGATTAAACAACCCAGCTCAGAGAACATAATACACCCATTGAATCATTCATTATACAGAAATTCTACCTATCAAAAAATGCATAAGTGATTATTTTCCCATTTTTATACTGGGTGTAAATAAATTAAAATTGCAGAACATATCTCATTCATGTCTTTGGTTATTTTCTGTAATAAAGGGACACCGGGTTAAGCAGATGTATATTATATGGTTCTCGAATGTTACTGGTTTCAATTGGACCCATTTGGTGTTAGTATTTGCCTATGGGTAAAATTTTTATGCGTAACTATAAATATGTATCTCAGTTTTAAGTAATGCAAGTTTCGTCCCGTCGTAATATAAACGAAATTTAGTAAAATGTTTGGTCCATTGAACAAGGTTTATCTGTTCAGATGACACTTTTGTTGAAGAACTTCAAATCATTCTTGACCTACTCAGTAGTAATGAGTATGCATAAAAGTTTTTAGCTAAAAATATCTAATTAAAAAACTAAAGTACTCGCAGTTTCAAAGAAACTGCTGTTCCTAAGATTACAGTTTCGGGGTGATATCATCTGTGAAACTGTGACAAAGAGCCTAAGGGAAGCCAAAAAGAGACCATAAAATGCAACAGAGTTGTACTCTGGATTCGACAGTCACCTCATGGTGACTTCGCTAATCAAAACCAGACCACAGGACTTAGCCTTTTCAATGTACATTTACTAGTTCAGCTGCTCCTGTGAAGCTAGTTACATTTTACGTACGCTTGGGCAAGTCCGTCTTTGAATCACCGAACATCATACGTTATGAAGTCGATACACAACTCAATACTCTCTCATCTCGTCGACATTAGTCACCAGTTTAATATTCACAACACCTTCACAGTCATTTATCACATTCCTTCTAACCTCATCCATTCTCTAACAGTTCGTCTTTTACATACATCAGAAGCCATCGGAATCCAACTGAACAAGCTGAGTCTATGTATTCAGAAGAAATTCGTACAGCCTCTTTCTTTGACTTTGTCATCTGCATAGTTTATCTGTATGACAACATCACCCTTCAATTCATTCACTCCACATGCCTTTATCAATATTATTATTATTATGGTTGTGATTATTGCTACAGGTTTTTGTCGCCTTGTTCTTCCTCCTCTTGTATGTAATTACCGTGACCAATTGACCACTTGACATAATAACTCGCTGTCTATTCTTTCTGTGTTCGTTAGTATTATGCAAACTATCGATTATGCAACGATCTGTAAAACATTTCCCAAATTGTGCTACAGTTGTAATTACCTTGATTAATTATCACCCCACTGATACTTTTAGAGAGAATACTTTATATTAGTGTATAGACACTGATAAAAAACAAATTTCGTAGAGATATTTCTTCGCTCATATTGTTTGTTTTCTAAATGTCGTATTACGAGAATTCCATAAGAGAGTTTGGATCCATCAGTGAGGAAAAAACTGAACAGAAATATTTCTTCGCTAGTATTTTTTCTTTGCATAATATTTTAGATTTGTTACGTCGTCATAATAATTTACCAATCAGTATGCATTATTTATTACTATAATTAGTCACTTGGGTTCCTAGTTTGTCACAGGGATTCAGTAGAGAGTCACCATTCCACTCTCTTCTCGGCAGTCCCCTCAACCCGGCTCCACCACTGTCCACAAACTTTCGTTTCTTCCTCACACGATCTCCTCCATGTCACCTTCACCTCGGATGCCCAACTCGTCATTTCCCATTTGGATTCCACTTGACCACCTGGCTCGGCACGTGATGTCCTCGAATGGTGTTCTCAGTGTATGCCCAGTACATCTCCACTTTCTTCCGCATATCTGTTCCTCGTTGCTTATCCTTACTATTCTGGCCATCTGGTCCTCAGCGTCACTATCGAGTGAGGGTAGGCGGCAGCTGTTGATACAATGTATGTCTGTAGTTTGTTGGAAATGCTCTTCGTAACACACCAAGTCTCCCAACCACCACACAGAAGCACTGACTTGACTGATATTAGTGTTTGAAATCCTGATCTTGTTCACGCTTTATGCTGAGTGCAGTGCACTACAGTGGATCTCCACACTGATTTCAGACTAATGAAGGAAGGCGTGTCTTGCTGTCTTTCCGATCCCGGCTTTGACGTGCTCACCTGTGCCACTGCCTATGTTTGAAACGATGCTGCCTTGCCTAGGCAGGTGAAAGAGACTTCTTCCTTTAGATTTCTCCCGTTCATGGTAATTGGTGCTTGTTGTTGGTCGGGTATCTTCATCACCTCTATGTTTTCTACGTCCACCTGGAAGAAATCCCTTCTTCGCCGCCTCGCCTCCTCTGCCAACTTGTTAGTTTTCGTCTGTAGATGTTCGAGTTTGTTCGACAAGACATTAGACATAAATCGTCATTGGCGAAATCCAAATCTTCCTCTGGGGTATTTTCCTTCGGTCAACGCAGCCTATGCCCATCTTCTCGCTCCCCACAGTTTCTTACATGATCCAGTCCGTTCCAGTCGGCCACAATCAGGAAGGTCATCGGTGATAGTAGACGGCTACCTTGTCTTACTCCTGTCTCCTGTCTTCACTTCAAAGGCGTCACTGAGCTCTCCATTGGTGTGTGAATCACTTGGCGTGTAGCATCATATAGCATATAGCTGTAGAATGAGGTGGATAAAGGTTTGTGGTACTAAAACCGTGGTGTTGAAGCAGCTGCCTGGCAAATTACTTCTTGGTCGACGCTGTCCAAGGCCTTTTCAAAGTCGATGAAGTTGAGGTGAAGATCCATTCGGCTGCCTTTCTATGCTCTCTTCTATAATGATGTGTAGCGTATATTTGCAACTTGATCCGCATATGATTTGTTCTTCCTGAATCCAGCCAGCCAGCTAGCCAGCCATCCTGTTCCGGTGGTAATTTTGAATCCAGAGCATTGTTTAGTCTCTCCAGTATGACGCGGCTTAATATTTCGCTTGCTTCGAGTTGACGGGAACGGGGCATGATTCGGCGTCAGTTCTTGCGAATTCTTTCGTCACCCATCCTTGTTTGGGAGTTTGACAAAGTAGCCCTTCTTCAAGTCAGTCGGCAGGTACCTTTCCTACCTTCAAAATCTTCTGTAATAGTGGTGTGAGCATGTCCGCAGTTGTCTCTGCTTCTGTTTTCAGTGCTTCTGGAGGAATTCCATTTAGTCCTGCTGACTTCGTGGTTTTCAGTAACTTTATGGTGTTCAGGACTTCACTTCTGCTTTTGTTGGAGGGTTTGTGTTCACTGGTAGATCTGTGGCTGGCGGTGGTATTTCTGGACTAGTTGCAGGTGGTGGTGGTCGATTCAAGAGTTTTTTGAAGTGGTCAGTCCATCATTTCCTTTGTTTCTGCTGTTTGGTAACTCATTCAGTATGTGCCATCAGTTATTTGGCTGATTCAAGTACAGTCTATGTTTACACTACAAGAAAATAATTCAACATCAGCAGAAAAACATATAGAGGCAAAGACTACTTCTGACTGATGGTTGATCAGTGAAGTTCTTCAAGTTAATCAAGAAGTTATCATTTCAATGGTGATAGAGCCCAAAATTAGTAACTACTACAGGTCACATACACTTGCGTAACTAACCCCTTGTGTTTGAAATGGCAAATTGTGGGCTTAATTCTTTCCTTAAAAGACCAACAAATATGACTGGCAGTAGAGAAATCACAATGCCGTCTATTGTAGTAATAAATTACCATGGTAAACATTGTATTAAAACTTGCTCTATAAACTTATTAGTCACATTTATTTTATTGCTTTCATAGAGATCCTAACATACTACCAGATGGGAGGCATGTAACTGATCAAGCAGATTCAGAAGATGCCGACGAATTAATTGAAGATGAATATGAAAACTCAGTGAATCATAAACAGAGACGTAAAAATCCATTCATTGGATGGCCTGAATTTCGAAACAGTACAAAAGCCTATATTGTCTTCCGTTCAGCCCCAGGAAACTTACATGTCAGTACACGACCACGTCATCGTCAATGCTTGTTTTGGCGTCGATGGTATCCAGCATTGCTGCAACAAGGTTAATTTTTCGACTGATTGTAGAATATTGATATCTGTCGCAGTAATTTTTAGACTATTTGCGTCACATTCTCACCTTTTTAATGTCATCACACTTCGTCAATAGTATCAGTTAAATTGTATAATGTGATGTATTATCGTTAAATGTTTGTAGCTAGAAAGGATGATTTAGGCGTAACTCACATATTTGAGTTTAACACGAAGAGTTGGCGAAGTCACTTGAATTTAGTTCACCTCTTCCGCGTAATTTAATATTATAAGACAAATTTAACTACTCATAAGTAGCATGAAATTTAAACTAAAAATCCACGAAAGTCGAGTTTTGATGATAGGGTGTCCAAATTGAAATAAAAATATCACGAGGTTCCTTATCCTTTTAATATAACTCTATCCAAAAACCATATAAATTATTTGGTGTTTTGGACAGAACAGCAAAACTCCTTGGCTCGTGTGTGAAAACATGATGAGTTGTTTCAGATGAGGTTTTCAGGAGAATCCATTTCAAATTTTATACTTGTTTACATTCATTAACAAATCACTTTATGAACCTTAATAGGATTGTCTCCTCAAAAAACACTTCGATACACCATATGTAATGCTTCAGATAAATGTATTATGCCTAACGTTTCCTGGTCAAAGTGAACTGACACCTGAAAACCTTTCAGTTTCAAAAACTCCTATTCACGAAATGTGAAGATACCACTGAAGTCAATTTCTGCAATGTTAACTTAACCAGCACAGATTATGAATGAATAGGAACTACATCAAACATAAAAAATTTGTCAACCCTAAGTTTTTAAGACACCTACAAGTCCTTCAGAAGTTGGCAACTCCTAGAATTTCTCATGTGACCAAGTGGCATAACTTACTAAAAAATTTTCAAAAGCAGTGAGCATGAAAAGAAGCAGAACTTGGTGAATTTTTAAGTCTCAACAGAACTCATCTACTGCATACACTACATACTGCACTATACATAACATGATGTAATTCAGGAGAAATAAAACAGATATACATAACACAAACTGATGCGTCAATTGAAGCGTAGCAACACAGAAGTGAGTGTTTTTTTCCAGGTCAGATGGTAATGCAAAAGGTTGGAGTGTTCAAAGTGAATAGATTGGAGATAAATTATGTCATTCTGAACGGGAAAAATGGTCACCAATTAGGAAGTTTGATGATAGTGCAAAGCTGAAAAATCATATCGATTTTGGGTGAAATATAATCATAACCCCAACAGTAATGATGATGTTGACAGTCAGGTGGGAATTCAGTTGATTAAAAATAGGTTGCATCATTTTGCAGAGAACAGTTTGCAGTCATTTATGATGCATGATAACAATGTGAAGCTAAGTTTCATAAGGAAAGCATGTATGCATACAAACTAATAGTAGGATGACGGCTAATTAAGCAAAGCATATCAACAGTGAGAAAACAAGAATGATAAGATAAGGGTAATAGCTGAAGACAGATAGCGGATAGATATGACTAGACACCAAAGGAATTACTACTATCCTAGATTCAAACTGACTGCTATTTCTTTATGGAAATCTGTGGCTGATCTGAAAAGTGGAATTGCGCAGCCTTTTGCAGTTGCAAGTGTCGTATTCTCCTGTCTACTGATAATCACGGAGGACGTAGGAGCGTTAGTATAGTACGCATAATCCACTAGATGTTTAATTACCGAGCTACTCAGAGTTTTATTTCTTACATACCTCATCCATTTAGATAGACTCTGTCATACAGGTAGAAAGACCCTTGTGCTTACGAACTATGCATCCGTTTCTGCAAACACATTCTAGATGATTTACGCGCTAGAGATGTCAAGGATCAAAGCTCTGTCTTTCTTTGGTTGCTGCATTATTCGTTTGGTTGTACTAAAGAAAATGAACCTATGCGATTATTATCTGTCCCATTTGGAATAACATAATTTGTCTCCAATCTATTCACTTTGAACACTCCAACCTTTTGCATTACCATCTGACCTGGAAAAAAACACTCACTTCTGTGTTGCTACGCTTCAATTGACGCATCAGTTTGTGTTATGTATATCTGTTTTATTTCTCCTGAATTACATCATGTTATGTATAGTGCAGTATGTAGTGTATGCAGTAGATGAGTTCTGTTGAGACTTAAAAATTCACCAAGTTCTGCTTCTTTTCACGCTCACTGTTTGTTTTAAATGTGTTGGGAAATTCAGTTTTTCAAATTTTAAAAGTGATACAAATCACCAATTTCATCGTTAGTGGCAAAATCGAATGGTTAGTAAGGTGGAATGAAAGGGTCATTAAATTTGACGTATACAGTACAGAAACTGTTATTTTATAATTAAAAAGGAGTGAGTCGACGAAGCTGTTCCTAAGGCTATAATAGTTATCCTTCACATTGTTCCAAAGTTTTTTGGTGAATACGTATCAAAGTAATTGAAAAATACTATTCGGAACAACTTTATTTTCTCCTTGTAGGAGGTATAATATAGTTGATGTTTATCGAAGAAAAACTTCAAACCTACAAGGAAATTATATGTAATGTATTGTACTTTATACTGCGTCATTTATGATACATACGAAGGAACAGAAAACAATTTAAGACGATGCATAACCATACACATGTTCGATAGATTACACCGAACAATGCCAAACAACAGAATCAAGTGCATAAAAGTAATAGAATTAACCGAGAACTAGGTTGTTGATAGGTTTAGGACGGTAAGAGAAGTTGCTGCTTTGCGTCACTGTAAGTGGATCTTAGCCATACCAGTTAAAATCTGCTAAACGATCCTTTCTCAAACCACTTGAATCTTATATGTGTGGCTGAAAGACAACAATAAATATTCAGAATTCCTTCCAATTTTTAGACTGTACCACATGAGTCCAACAAATTTCTTAACATTGTGAGATTGGATACATTTACATTTCATCTGAATGAGTGTATATACCTTTTCAAAATTATTAAACTAGTTCTCAGCACACTTAAGCTCGTACATTGTTTGGTCACTGGAGGTTAAGCAAGCGACTAGGTTAAGAGACTCATCATTGTGATGAACTGAGAGAGATGTTATCTGGATGGAGACAATCAGCTGGAAGATATGGACCTAAATTATGTGCTTGATTGGTAGCATCTCTAATTTAAGCACTAGGTTATGCTAGTTCGAATCTCAGGCTGGACATCAGTTCTGTCAAAACGGCGGGTGCTCCTTGCTGATCAGTGCTAGAAAACATGAAATCTAGGTCCAGCCTTTCCTGCTGATCACATCCATCCAACTAAAACTTAATTTCAATCTGGGTGAAAAATTAACAAAACAACTTCTAGATTCAGAAACAAGCTAGTCTTTCTAGCCATCTCCAGGCATTAGAGTTTAACATACAATCCCAATAAAATAAACATGGTGTCTTAATCATACTGAAAAATCTTAATGGATTTATTGATTATAATATATTTATTGAGAAAATCACAATTAGAATAACCTTTTCAGTTCGGTCACCATCAGAGAAGATGCGCCTTTATAACTGCTACAAACAGCAGTACTCAACTAAAGAATGCATTCTTGATCCAAAAGAGTCACAGTGTATCCAAACTGAGAAACAGAAGCCTTAGCATTATACAACATTAGATGACATTTCATCTATCTCACCTGTGATTACATGAATGAGTGTTAACAGTAATCGAAATCAAGCTTTGAAAAAAGCCTGGTAGTTAACCGATGGCTGAGTAATATACTCTTTTTACGTCCTGTTCAATATAGTGCATCATATTAATCTCACTTTAGTCATTCAGAATGCCTTTAACTACTATGAAGTGTAAAATAATGATTTTTGTGTTATCTCCAATGTTTTGCTTTTCTAACGCAGTTAGGTATAGACGAGTTGAACAGATGACATATAGAAGATAACTTACTGGTTAGGATACAAAAGTCCCACAAATGTGCCAATCACATGATTCATAAGTTCATTTTGTATGTTCAACTACAAACCTTGGACTTATTTCTGCGTCAATGAGGAAAACAAAGCAAGAATTATTCAAAATTGGATTTGCTTATTCTATTTACCACACACTTGCATAGTACCATTTACTGACTAACTTTAAAAGACTACAAACCTTGGGGATAACTCCTTAAATTGAGGCAAAATCACGAAATAAGTTACGATAGAGTAACGGCCTTAAGGACCAATAGAGTTAAGTGGACAGAAATAGTAATTACCAAATCTTTCTTCATTCCCTCAAAACCCAATACCTGCAGCAGAAATTATGTAACACTCTTTCTAGATATATATAAATCCTATAGTCATTAAAACTGAGGAATAACAAGTCACAGAAATGCCGAAATCAGCTGTTGGAATTTGTGTATCCGCCTTGATATGATTGTGAGTAAAGAATTAGACTGGAAATGTTATTCAGTAAATAACGCCATCAACATGTATTAAAATAAATGAAGAACTTTAATATGGAACAACAGTCTACTACAGAGCCCGTGTTGCATACTCATGCTAAATGAGTGGCAACTCAATTCTTAAGAATGCAGTGAATTTCGATATTCACTTGAATTCTCATCATCTACATACAACTTGGTAAAATGCGATGCCCAAAAGTCAATGTTAAGTGCTTGAAAATGGGTGAACCAATTGGCCTTGAATGGTGATCAATATACCTCAGTAGTTATGCTATTATTTTCAGTCCTAGGTATCACATCTTCAAATATCTTAATAAGCTGCAGTTCCTCTGAGGTAACTGATTCGTTTTACTGATGAATACCGACAAGAACGAAACACCAAGTCCTATAAACAGGTACTAATTACACTTCAAATGAATTGTTGCCAAATATTGTTTCTGGTTTCCAGTTAAATCATCTTTCAGTACTAAATAGATGTAAATAGAAATTTCTCTAATTTATTTTCTTCAGTCCAAATACAGAGTTCCCATCATGCTTCCTTAAAATTGATGGAAATAACGATTTGCTCTAAAATAATTCTCCAGTTTTACTTATCCTTACATCATTCATTATTATAAAACTGGCATTAGAGGGCCCCCATAAATATACTGTATTTCTACATTGCCTTTTAGATACTTTTACCATCCCTCTCTAAATGCTTTTGTTTCCAGTTGCTGATTATGGTAATGTCTGGCTTTATACACTTGGCCATATTAATTTCTTTTTAAATCACAAGAATGGAGTGATAAATCATAAATTTAGTTAATTCCACTAAGGTATATCTTCTTGCTGTGATTAAACTGACGAAGGCAACTGAATGTATGAAATTAACCTGTTTAAGTGACAGATGCTACCAGTTTCCAAATAATGGCTGTAACAAGACATATATTTGTATCAGTTGTTTTATAATCTTGCATCATAGAAAGCTGTCATTTAACCAACTTCAAGAAACGAATATTAGTTGTAGTTACCCTTTCTGAAGTAACCAGTGCTTAGCTGGAGAATCATGTATTACTTCTGAACAAGTTAGGTTATACAAAAGTAAATAAAAACTTCTGGTAAACGTTTGTAGACCAGTATGTGTATGTTCAAGATGAGCTATTTTATGAACTGCGGCTTTACTTGAGAAACGTTTCAGCATCATGCTAGACATCGTTATCAGAGCGTCAAAGCTTCACAAAGGAATGGAGCAATTGGTTGTGTGAAAATATTTATAACGTGTCACTTTGCCTGAGTCTAACCTGACTGGTCACTTGGTGAGGATGTAGGTGTACGTTGGACCTGATTAATTTACTCCTTGTTTCTGGTGTAAGTGTGTGGTTAGATCACCTTTATCTGGTTGGCGCACGTTTAGGTCGCTTCGTCGTGACTAGTTAACTACTGAAGTCTGAGTGAGCTGATGAAGATAGCTTTCACCTGATTGGCTGATACCTTTGTTCGATTGAAGTGATGTAGGTAGTCCTGATCTCATTCGTCAACTCTTGTGAGTTGGAGAAGGAGTGCTTTACGCTACTTGATTGAATTTCTCTTATCGAAAAAGTATTCTCTGCGATAGCCGTTTGGTTTAATTTCACTAAATAAGAGGGTATTTTGTAATGACTAGTGAAATACAGGCGTTTGGTTAGATATAGGTGAACTATCCTAATCTAATGGATTGATCGTTTCTTCGTTGGTTACCTTTGAATTGGTTGATTCCTAGCACTGATTTGTTTCGAATAGGCTCATATATTGCGTCTAGGTTGGTGTGGAGATTTATTTCTAAATCTCAGGGTGAGTTGGAGTTTATATGTCGCAGTATTTTGAAGTTGTCCCAGTTGAATATGCGTTAATGGTTTTCATAATATGCTGAGATGCGATGCTCTGTATCATAACGTTTAACAGCCAACTTGTGATTTAGGGACCGTCCTTGTGAGAACTTGACAAACGCCAAAGTCAATCACTAATTATTCGTACTTGTAACATATTCACAAATACGAGACCAAGGAAGAACGCAATAGCATAGTGAGATGGAACAGTATATTTGAGAGGTCATGCCAAAATACCGATGTGCTCCGACCACCTGGCTAGTGGATCGATTACGAGCAGTACAACGTAACACGACAGTGCGCCAAACGGCATGGACGCTTGACCGTGTGCCTTCAGCCTAGCGAGTCTGATGAAACTATGAAGGTCAGCATCAATGCTGAATCTCATTGAACCTTAGGCTAGTGGTTTTGGGGAAGTATTTGACTTTACGTCTTCATGTAGGCATTGTAATGCTACTTTGTCTGTTTATACTAGGTAGTAGTGTCCACAGTTATTGTAGTTGACTTCGTAGAAAACACTGATTATTTCTTCTTCTTTGACCAGGCTTTAAGAGACTGGATGTGTTGTTGTTACGTTATTATTACAAAGTCGTTTAGTTTGCATAGGATGTGATGCAGCGATTTTGTTATTTTAGGTGGTACAGGAATCCTAGGGGAATGCTGTAATCTGGGTGGCATTTTTGAAATATTTCTGATGTATGGAGAAAGAATTAATTTGTCAATTATCTCATTAGATTTCGATTTTGTTCGTTTAGAAAAGTCATCTGCTGATGAAATTTTTTCGATAGCAGTTCAGTTCAAAGATTTCAAGCAAGCGTTCAAATGAGAGTTGCTTTGTATAAGCGGCTATTATAGGCTTAAGAGTCAGAGTGTAAAAATTACTGTTCATGAATTAAACCTCCAAGTGTTTTCAGGTTTATTCAGCAATTAGGATTTAGAATGCTGATATCTTGGAGTCATAATTGAAGGAAGAAGCATAAACTGGAATAGAATACACCTTTGAATGTGTGAAGATGCTGGAAAAATGATCTTTTCAAATTTATAACTTTGGTCACCTAAATGGGATGTTAAAACTACTAAGATATAGTGTGTACTAGATCTATCTAAGGTTTATTAATACATAAAGTTTTGATATTCAGCTGAAAAAAACTATCTCAGCTTCCATAACTATGAATCTATAGGAGAACCCACAAACAATAAACATTCTAGACATAGATTTTCACATTTTTTTTCTTTGTTGAATACGTCTTTAAATATGATAGGCTAGGATTTTTAAACTAAAGGCATTCTGATAGGTTTTCAGACGTTTAAACAGATGCTTAGAGTTGGCAAGTAAGTATAGTCTAACGAAAATGATCAGTTGAATAGAATCTCAACACTAGATTTCTCATGGTATATTGCATTAACTGACTGTTAAATGAAGACCAACTGTAACGCAATTTATGGAAGTGTTTTTTATTGAAAATCATAGCAAAAAGATCAGTTAGAATAGTGTTTGGTGGAAATATCAACAATAGATTAGCTGTCTTCTTATCCTGTGGAAAGCTAAATCTAAAGAAATCGTAACAAATTTTATTTTTCTGTTTTCGTTATCAATTATTATTCTATAGTTGAACGCAATCGTCAGCATTGTTTGGGTACATGACAGTCAAAGCATTGGTTGAGTAACGGTCGGTGAAAGAATCATATTTCATGTTCGAAGAGGAGTAAAGAAAGAAGATTTCAATCAAACAACACTACCCATTAACTCTAAGTAGCAGTTTACCACCGTAGAATGACACTTTTTTGCATAAGAAATATCATGCAGTGAAAAGTCTTATGTGTACACACACACACACATTTTTGCTACAATAAATGTATTAACAAAACAAACCACCTTTATTTTTTATTTTCTGAGTCTTATCATTTCCTGTTATCATTCTGGATTGAACGGATCCACCTCCATCAGCATATAAGCTCCCATGAGAACCCCATGATATTACCTAATTATGTACTATGGTGTAATTTGTCTGATGACGGTTATCATTTGAATCTAGGGGATGCGTTTCGTCCTAGTCGGGACTCGTCAGCTGGATTCGCCTGTAATGCAACCTCCCCAGTGACTTAATGGATAATGATTTTGCATTTGAAGTGATGAGCCCTGGGTTTGGGTCTCACTGAGAATAACATCACTTACTGGAGTGCATGCACACCCAGCTAAGGAGTATCGAATAGAATGAAACGCGGGTCCTGGATGCCACTACCAGCCACGACCTACCAAATTGGATTTACCTTTAGATTTATCTTTTTCAAAGTAGTTTAGCATTCATTCATATCATTGGTAAATCATTTTGTTGTATTTGAATCAGATTCTTGAATTGGAAAACATTTATTCTCTTACCAAATGATACCTTTTGCTCACCTGATGATTGCGCGTGTGTTTATCAAAGAAATGCAGTACGCCTCACAATACAGGAACTATGCATGATTGCAGTAGGTGATATCTTGTACAGAACACTAAAAGCTTCGTATTTCGATTTCCCTGTGAAGAGATTCTCATCCAAATTAATTTTTAACATTATTCTTTGAATAGAGACAGTATCACATACTACATATCATAACTTCATTTTGAGCAACTAATTATCGTTTACTTGTGGATTGTAATAGTTTCATTTGTCAACGACACCAACTTAATGATTCACAGTCTATACTTGCTTTCAATTAGACTACTTTTTGTTTCTTCTACTGCTACAACTATGTGATCGACACTGAAGTAATTTAATTCAAGAATAGCTATACCTCAAAACTGACAAGAGAAGTATATTTGATACTCTACAATCTTTTTCACTCCTAAGACCAGCTCTTTTATCATATGCTGGAAAGACCACGCTCCATTCTACTACGCAGTTTAGCTGGACGAATGTTAACAAGAAGTGATAATAAGAATGTAAGGATAAGTGATCATGGAATGCCTCGAGTCATAGTTTAGATTTAGGTGTAGTATCTTATTTAATGAAGACAAATAGAACTAACACCCAGCTTCAGTGTACACATTGGAAATGTGACTGATGGACGCAAAATGACGCCTCAGCTTAACAAGTAATATTTGTTGGAATACGATAGACAAAAAAATGGTGTTGTCTATCCCATATGAACTTATTCCAACTTTCTGGAAATGTTTTATGCAACAATATAACAAGTTCATTAAAACTACCTTCATTTATGCATGTTTAATAGTAACTAAGGCTACTGAAAATTACTTTTCGAATTACTAGGCATTTATAATCATCTTTTATGGTTGATATTGTGCATTGTGTTGTTGTCCATAGATCACTATAAACCGAGAAGGAAAGTATACACTATCCGAATCAAGTTGAATTCCTAGTTATGTACCTACGGTGAAACTATAGAACTCTGCTGTCCTTCATTGAGTGTACCAATAAAGAAACGGCTATTTCCCTACAGTTCTTTATGCAGAAAGGAAGAGCATTTACAGTAGATACGGTTGCTTACTGGTGTTTCAGATCAACTCAGGTTTTAGAATGTCTTTTTTCTGCCCAAAGAGATAGTACGTACGAAAGAGACATTCATCCATATGAGTTAATGAGATTAAAATACTTGGACTGTGATACGGATCAAAATAAGCCTTCATGTAGTCTCCTAGTGCTTTTAAATTACTTGAATGAACCTCTGTAGTAGGATTAATGAATAAGAGCTCTTAAAGTTGAGATAGTTATTAGGCTCACGACAGTGGATATTAGTTTGATTTCAAAGTTCAAAACTCTATAAATTAAGCCAGCACTGAGAATAGGACCTACTAGCAGTTTACTTGCTGCTATCTGACTAACTGAGAACTGTCAACCCTGTGGAATTTCATGGTAGGGTTAAGTGAGTTGCAATGAGTTCTGTGATCAGGTTTTAGGTTTGCAAACTAGTAGGAAAACGTAATCCAGTGTGAACATTTTGCCGATAAATCAATCGTTTACAGAAACTTCTCAGAATTCGCAAATAATGCCAGACGACAATATACGAAATAATTCCCATACAAACCATTAAAGTTATCGTCATCAAATTTGAGCATTAATCTACCTATCTGTGATCAGTGGCATCCATTCAAAAATTTACGGCCTCCCAGAACGACTGCACAGACACATAAAACTTCATCGGCCACCTCGAGGTCTTTCGGTGTGTCCAGCTCTGAAATCTGACTCCAAATTTTATATACGTGTCCAGATACACTATCGCCTATTTATAATTCCCGACACTGCTGATCCACCTGCGTCAGACAGCGTAAATATCAGGAGTTAACGCGAAGTATATATCAGGATGTTGTATTAGTCAACGAGCGAGCAAAAAGTCTTTTTCAGTACAACTAAACAAAAAATGTTCAATGAGTTGTTACATACATCAACACAATACAGTGAAATAAAATGCTACATAAGTCCCTCCCCAGAATACAGATATAAGAGGGAATATCTGTGTTCGATGTAAAATATTATGAGAAAGGTAAATTCATTTTGAAGATATTAAAAACATAGGAGGAATGTTAAGGATATCTATTATCAGGATGAAAACTGATTGGAAGAGTGTTTACATAAAAATGGAGTGTATGACATTCGAAACACTAAAATAACTTTACCAAAGTAATAATATATCCGGAGATAAAAAAATTAACAACCAAAATCGTATTACCTGGAACATTGTTAAGAAATAAGAGATTCGGAAGTCCGTGGTGCCCGGAAAAAAATTTTGTTTTGTGTATGCGGAAAAGTCTGACAAAATCGTGTGGTCATGTTTTCAACAAGGTAATGAGCAAAAAGGATAATAATGTTACTAGGGAATTGGTTTTATGAAATGTAAATTGTCTGAAAGTAACGTCGTGGCCAACGGACTCTTCTTCCGGATCTCGTGGTTCTGCTACCGTCGCTATTATTGGGTGATTCCGATGCCGTTGTTTCTGTTTTGACGGTGGTTTTCGGTGTTTCCGGTTGCTTCACTGCGGGTTCAGACTTGGTATCCGTGACATCTGGTTCCATAAACGCTGGTTTGACTCTATCAATGCTGACCGTTTCTCGTCTACCCGAGCGTTCGACCGTGACAACTTTGTCTGATTTACTAATTACCTTGAAAGGTCCTTCATACGGGGGCTGTAAGGGTTTTCGTACGCCGTCGTGTCGGACGAAAACGTGAGTGCAGTTTGAGATGCACTGAGGTACGTAAACTTGGTTGTCTCGGTATCGTGGGGACTGAGGTCGAAGTGTGCTCATGTGTCGCCGTAGTTGTTGTACATAGTTAGTCAAGTCCGGTGGAACGTCTGTTGCCGGGTTAAAATACTCTCCTGGCAATCTTAAAGTAGTTCCATAAACTAACTCAGCAGTACAGCAGCCAATGTCCTGCTTGACACTCGAACGTATACCAAGGAGTACTAGTGGTAATTTGTCACTCCACTTGTCATCAGTCTTTACTGCCATCAGTGCTGCTTTTAGTTGTCGATGGAACCTTTCGACAATACCATTGGATGCAGGATGGTACGCAGTGGTTCTTATGCGCTTGATCCCGAGAAGTTCAGTTAACTGTTGAAATAGACTACTCTCGAACTGCGCACCTCTATCTGTGGTGATGACACTTGGGACACCAAAGTTAGAAATCCAGTGTTGGATGATATTTCTCGCTACTGTTTCGGCAGATATATCCTGCAGAGGTATTGCCACTGGCCATCTCGTGAATCGGTCTACACATGTTAAAATGTAGCTAAAACCATTTGACGGAGGTAGTGGTCCAACGATGTCAACGTGTATATGGTCAAATCTGCCATCCGGTGGGAAAATCTTCCCGTAGGTGAAAGAATATGTCTTTGCACTTTCGATCGCTGGCACGCTAAACAAGCTCTGGACCACTGTCGAAGATCTCGATTCATCTTTGGCCAGACGTATCGGTCAGTAATTAACTTCACCGTAGCTCGAATACCAGGATGTGAAATGCCATGCATCTTAGAGAAGACTAATCGTCTCATTGATAAAGGCACAAACGGGCGCGGTTTACCCTTGGATACATCACAGGTGATGGATACAGAGTCATCAAGTGTCACTTCTTCAAGACGTAATGAGGTGTTCACATTGTTTTTCAAATGTTTCAAGTCCTCATCCGTGGCCTGCAACTTTGCCATTTCTGCTAGGTCAATACGGTCACGTTCTAAGACGTTTACGTACATACGAGACAAAGCATCAGCTGCCTCATTTTTGCTGCCTTTGATATACCTTATATCTGAAGTGAATTGTGAAATAAATTCTAAATGTCGAATTTCTCGGGGCGAGTAGTTGTCATGCTTTGCATCAATTGCTTTTGTGAGTGGCTTATGGTCGGTGAATACTATAAATGAGTACCCTTCGAGCATATATCTGAAGTGCTTGATAGCCAAGTAAATCGCCAGTAGCTCTCTGCCGAATGTACTGTATCGCGATTGAGAAGCATTAAGTCGTTTCGAGAAGAAAGATAATGGTTCCCACTGACCGTGAACAAACTGTTGTAGTACTGCGCCTACCGCAACATTTGAAGCGTCTGTCATGATGGCTAGTGGTGCTTCTGAATCACGACGAGAGAGAAGAGTTTCAGAACTTAGAGCCAGCTTCAGTTTGTCAAAAGCATCATGGGCCGCTTGGGTCATGT